TTTTTTTTTGTTTGGATTTTCTGCCAGGCCAAGGTCAAGGCCAGGCCAGGGCTTCGGGCTGCAACCTCGACGCAAGTCCCGAGTTGCGGTTGTCGCCACCCTTCTGGCCCGGCCCTGGCCCTACTGGCCCTGGCCCTGACCAAACCAGCTGCCGACGTGGGCTCGCCGCTGAACCCTGCCCGCCTCGTCGACTTCTTCGGCCTGGCCGCCGTCACCGCCATCACCGCCACCACCACCGTCGCCACCGTCGCCATCGTCGCGCCACTCACTGCTACTCCGGCCCTCAACTCGTCGATCTGCACATCAAGACCGCCGCCACATCGCCCCACCTAGACTGCTTCAACGTCCGACCACAGCTTCGCACCGCCACCCGCCACCCGCCGCCCGTACAACTCCACATATACCTCCCTCTTCCTCTCTCCAACCTGGCCCGTCAAGCTCGGCCACTCAACCCCGCCCACCTACTCGCTCCTCTGCTCTCCGCCGCCGCCGCCGCCGCCGCCGCCGCCGCCGCCTCCTGCTCTCGTCTATCCCGCATTCCGCCGCTCCAGCTCGCTCAACCGCTGCGTCCAGATCAGCTCGTCCAGCAAGTCGACTCAAAGACGACCGAGCCTGGACCCAAGCTGACTTCTGGACTGCAGCCCTTGAGCCCCTCGTTGCATGGTCGCCCCTACTCTCATCGACTGCTGGCATGTCCGCGATCTTGCCAGGTTCCGCGCCATCCTCAAGGGTGGCCCGGATAGGGCCGCCGCCCACACCCTCAGCGGTTCCGGCAGCATCGGCGCACAGCTATCAAAGTCGCCCCACGGCTCGGCCCACAACGGCTTCAACGGCCCATGCCCGCCCCACGAGGTCAACCGCAGAGACCTCCTAGGCCGCTCCGCCCTCCATCTCATCGCATCCAGCCAGGAGCCCGCAAGCGTAGACTACCTCCACGCCCTCCTCGCACACCCCAGCCTCAACGTCAACCTCCAGGACGCAGAAAACGGCTGGACCGCACTCCACCGCGCACTCTACTCGGCAAACCTCATCACCGCACTCATCCTCCTCCGCCGCACCGACACCGACACCCGCATAAAGGACCTCGAGGGCCTCACCCCCTTTGACCTCTACAACTCCACCGTCGCAGGCACCAACCCGCTCCACGAGGCCCTCAGCTGGGACTCTTCCACCAACATAAAGGGCCGCACCCTCTGCCAGCTCTACTCGTGGGGATCCAACCGCAACTTCACCCTCGGCCTCGGCGATGGCGACGACCGCCAGCTGCCCGACCGCGTCAACCTGCGCAGGGAGGCAGACGAGTGGGAAAGGTCCCAGCAGGCGCTTGCGGCGGGCAAGAGGTTCGACCGCATCGGAGTGCGCGACGTCGTCATGGGCAGGATGCACACCGTCATCCTCACCGACGAGAGGGCGTCCAACGTGTGGATCTGCGGAATCGGCGGAAACGGCCGCCTCGGCAAGGCGCCCCAGACGCAGCCCCGCCTCGAGCCGCTGCACGACTTCCGCGAGACGGCACGCAGCGTCGCCGTCGCACAGGACCACACCATCATCGTCACCATGTCCGGCGCCGCCTACACCTTTGGCCTCAACCGCTTCCAGCAGCTCGGCTACACCGTCGAACAGGGCCAGGGCTATGTCGCCTCCAGCTCCGGATCCGGAGCCTTCCGCGGCGCCGCCTTCGGAGCGGCGGGCTCCACCGCCCCTACTGCTGCCGCCGCCGGCGAGCTCGACGTGCAGATCTCGCCGCGCAAGGTCGCCGGCGTGCTCAAAAAGGAGACGGTGCTCGGCGCGGCGGCCAGCAAGCTCCACTCGGTCGTCTTCACCACCGACGGCCTCTATACATGGGGCACCAACACGGGCCAGCTCGGCTACGACCGGGGCGGAACCCCCGTGCAGGTGCTGCCCCGGAGGGTGACGGGCCTCGCCGCCGGCACAGGGATCAAGCAGGTGGCGGCGACCGAGTTCGGCACCGCGTGTCTGCTCGACAGCTGGGACGTCGTCCTCTTCCACAACGACACCCACTACCGGATCAACTTCCCCCTCTCGCGCTTCTCGAGCGACATCTCCGTCTTCCGCCCGCGCCAGGTGCAGCCCAAGTCGTGGATCACCAAGCTGACCAGCAGCGGCAACACGTTCGCCGCGCTCAGCGACATGGGCGACCTGTTTACGTTCAACCTCGAGCACCCTTCCGAGTACGGCGGGGCCGGCGGCGGCCGCGGAGGTGGGGGCGGAGGGGCTGCTTCGGGCCATCAGGGCAAGATGGCGGCGGCCCAGTCTGCGCCCCGACCGCAGCTGGTCTGGTCGGTCCGCAAGAAGTTCACCGCGGTCCGCGACGTGGCCATCGGATCCGACGGGTCCATCATCCTCTGCACCGAGAGCGGCCACGTCTACGTTCGCTCTCGCAAGGGCGATGGCACGACCAAGGCCGCCGGCAAGAGCTTCAAGTTCCAGGCGGTGCCCTACCTGCAGCGGGTGGTCAAGGTGGCCATCAACGAGACCGGCGGGCTTGCCGCCATCAAGGTTGATCCGCCGCTGCCAGAAGTCAGGATGAAGGGTCGGACGATTGAAGAGGCGCTGCGTGATCTGCTGCCGCACCTCAAGGTGCGCTCCATCACCGAAGACGGCGAAAAGGAGCAAGGGATCAGCGCCGAGATGGTCGAGATCCACGAGGCGCGCAGCGATGCTGGGTCGTCGGACGACGACAGCGACAGCGATGCCGACTCCGACCATGGCAGGGGTCACGGCCGGGCCACCAAGCGAACGGCTCACGACCGACACGTGCACGCCGCGCTTCTACTCGCGGAGGCGGCCAAGAGGTGGACCGCCGCGGGGAGCAGTGGCAGCCGTGCAGCCGCCGCAGATGGCGACGCGGCCCAGCCGTCCTCGCAGCCGGGACGTGGGTACTATGGCCCGCACAACCTGAAGCCGCCGTTCGGCTGCGACGCCTTCCTCATCGCCGGCAACTGGTACCTGCCGGTCCACCGCGTCGTGCTGGCGGCGCGAATCCCTGCGCTCCGCCAGGCGCTGGCCAACCCGGCCGCCAAGGTGCGGCTGCCGGACGGCGTGCAGGTCAAGAAGCTCAGCGACGCCGTCGCGTCCATCGTGCTGCCGGCCTGCAGCTTCGGCACCGCGCTCTTCTTCCTCCACTGCGTCTACAGCGACAGCTTGCCGCCCGTCTGGACCCCGAGCATCGGCATCCTGGTCGACAAGGCGCTCAAGGCGGCCAAGATCGACCGGATGCAGGTGCAAAAGCAGCTGCTGCAGCTTGCCGAGCTGCTCGGCCTCTCGGTGCTCGAGTCGGCCATCCGCTCGCCCATCCTCCACGCCCTGACCGGCACGCTGCGCGACGATATGCTCGGCTTCTTTGCCGCGCATGTCGATGTGGCAGACGTCGAGGCCTCGCCCTTCCGCGATGTCGAGATCGAGCTCGAGGACCGCGTGGTGCCGGCCCACTCGGCCATCCTGCGCCGGTCGCCGTTCTTCAGCGCCCTCTTCCAACCGCAGTGGACCGCGACGCGCTGGAACAGCCGCAACATCATCCGGATCGACATGCGGCACCTGCGCTGGGAAGTGGCACGCATCGTGCTGATGCACCTCTATACCGACATCGGCGAGGCGCTCTTCCGCGGCACCGATACCGACCGCACCATGGAGCAGTTTATGGACTTTGTCGTCGAGGTCATGGCGGCGTCCAACGAGCTGCTCCTCGACAAGCTCAAGCTCGTCTGCGGATCGCTGCTCCGCAACCGTGTCCTTAGCCAGAACGTTGGCGCCGTCATGACCGAGGCCGGCTTCTACGAAGCGGCCCAGCTCAAGGAGATTACGATGGACTACTGCACCAAGAACCTCGAGTCGCTGCTCGAGAGCGGCATGCTCGTCGAGCTCGAGCACAAGATGCTGCGCGAGCTGACCGCCTTCCTCCGGCGCCGGCAGGACGAGAAGATGCGGCGCACCCTGGCCCAGGACAGCGTCCTGGCCCTCGTCGAAAAGCACCGCGAGTACTACGACGATCTCGACATCCCGCCGCCAAGCCTCCACCTGATCACCAACAAGGTCCAGCCGAAAAAGGGCCCGACCCAGGTTCAGCTGCTGTCGCCTCGTCTCGCACCAGCCGATCGCCGGAGGTCGCCCGCGAACGGCCGTGGCTCGTCGCCGCCGACCAGCAGCCCGGACCTGCGCCCGGTTGGCGAGGCGTCTGGCAAGAACGCACCGGGCGGCTCGGATCCAGCGATGATGTTCTCGATGGACGACGAAGAGGGCGAGCCGCGGTCCGCGCGCAGCGGGTCTGCAGGCTCGCCGTGGGCCACCCTGCCGAACGTCGCGCAGCTCAGCCTCGACGAGGTTGCACCCGCTCCCGCGGCACCAAGCGCAGCCGCACAGCCGTGGCGAGCCAGGACGGTCGAGGCCGAAAAGAGGGCGCAGAGCACCGAGTCGAGCCCGTCGCTGCGAGCCACCCGGCCCCCGGAGGGCGCCTCGGATCTGCGGAGCATCATGATGTCGCAAGAGCAGCAGCAGCAGCAGCAGACCCTCCGACGATCGACGGCCGCATCGCCGTCGACGTCGGGCACTTCCACGCCAAACCCGTCCGCTCGACCGACGGTCACGGCGGGCGGCTTCGACATCACACCGCTGTCGCTGGCTTCGGCCAAGATGTCGCAAAAGGACCGCAAGAGGCTCCAGCAGCAGCAACAACAACAGCAACAGCAGCAGACCGCCTCTGCCGCTGCTGCGGGATCGCAGGTGGCGAGCGCCAGCTCCTCTGCCTTGAATCGGCCGACAACGCCCGCAGCCTCGCCGTGGAAGCTGCCGTCGGCCTCGCAGACTTCACCAGCAACGGCGGCCTTCTCCCCAGATGGCGCGACCCCCTCGAGCTGGGGCGCCAGGGCGTCTCAGCTGTCCGACGCGATGTCGACGCCGCAGAGGCGACCGAGTGCTGCGCCGCTGCAATCTCCCGGCCTAGGTCGAGGCGTGGTGCCGTCCTCGGAAGGCGGCTCGGCAAGGAGCTCGGCGGGCCCGCCATCCACCCCGCTCGGCCCGACGTTTACGCCGACGAGGATGCAGAGCAGCTCAGCACCACGGCGCACATCCAACACGGAGGCAGCGTGGTCCTCACCAGCGATTGCGCCATCTTCGTCCTCCTTCCTCAGCAGCCCGCCACCATCGTCGCCCTCGGTGAGGGCCGACGTCTCGGCGACCGACCTGCAGCAGGCGCGGCGGTCCAGCAGTACCGCATCTCGGCCACAGCGGGCGTCGAATCTGCAAAAGTCCCTCGACGCCGGGTCAACCACGGGTCCGGAAGGCGCTACCTCCAGCGTCACCTCCGTCCTCTCGCCCTCCGGTTCGGGCCGAGGATCCGGATCCGCGGGATCACTTACCTTTGCGCAGATCCAGGAGCAGCAGCGGCTGGCCGAGCGTCAGCAGACCGAGCAGATGGCGGCGCTGTCGAAGCGCAGCTTCATCGACATCATTGCCGAGGAAAAGGAGGAAGAGGAGCGGCGAAGGGTCGAGCTCAAGCAGCAGGAGGAGTTTGAAAAGTGGTTCGAGGAGGAGTCGAGGCGGATACGAAGAGAAGGTGGCGGCGGTGGCGCAGGGCGAGCGGGTGGAAAAAAGGGCAAGGGCGGCGGTGGCGGTGGTGGTGGCGGTAATGTCAAGGGAGGGCCGAAGGGCAGTGGCGGCAATAGCGGTACCGCTGGCGGCGATGGAGACCGGAAAGCGCAGAACGGCGCGTCGGGCAAGCGGAAAGCGCAGCAGGCCAAGCAAAGCAGCGCCGTCGGGGGCGAAACGGCCACCCCGTCCTCGGACGGTCCGCCGTCTGCGGGCGGAGGAGGCAAGCCAAAGGCACCACCAGGTGGTGGCGGCGGTGGCGGTGGGAAGAAGAAGCAGGCCACGCCATCGACGACCGAAGGCGGGTCGGGTAGCCTCAAGACCGGCGGCGGTCGTGCCGGTGGCCCAGGCCGAGGCAACGGTACGGCCAGCGGGGGCGGCGGTGTTCCCAACGGCAGCGGTAGCGGTAGCGGCAAGGCCAACACCAGCGCCAACACCCCCGCCTCTGCTGCCGCCACCGCACCAGCGTCGTCGTCAGCAACACCGCCTGGAACGGCTTTGAACGCCGCACCGTCGTCGGGTACGGGTCTGTCGATCCGCGCGCCGGCGTTTGTGCCGTCTCGCCCTTCGCAGTCGTAGCGCGGCGAGGACCGCGCGGCCTCGCCACCAGGGTGTCCCTCCTATCGACCATCTCACCGTCCCACACACACACACACACACACGCACACAAGGGCGCGTCATCTTGCTTTGCACGTCGTCTCTCCATCTGCGGACCCTCAATAGCCTCCTCTGCTTAGCCATGCACACGTGCACACGACGTCGTCGTCGTCGGAAGGAACGGAAATGCATAGACGCCTCGAACCCTCGTTCCGTTTGTTCGTCTGCCTGGCCGGGTTGTGCGGGCTCGGCCGGGCTTGACTCGTCAGGGACCGGGGAGACGGAGGTCGGTATGCAGTTGGGCCACAATGGCGCGGTAGGCCGGTTCGCGCTCGGGCGTGATGAGGTTGTGTCTGATGAAAAAGTCGAGGAGCACTGGTGGTGCCGGGTCGGTGTATCGTTTCGTACGAGGTTGGTGGTGGTGGTAGTAGTGGTGAGGAAGTGGATGGTGTTAGAGGGGGGAACGAGGAAGGGGAGGGAGGGGGATTCCTCGAGGACCAGGGCAAGGAGGTACGTACCGAGGCAGCAGTTTGGTTTAAACTCTCCCGCCTTGATGCGTTGGACGACTTCATCGACGGGCATCTTGACAAACGACTCGGCCTCACCATCGCACGGTCTCAGCACCGTCTCCTCCTCAACACACAGATCATACACGTACTCCACCTCCGGTTGGATCCAACCGTGTGCCCGAGTCTTGTAAAAGTAGCTCAGCACTCCGACCGTCTTGCACCTCTCCTCGACGTAGGCCGCGTCGAGACTGGCCTCCTCCTCGCACTCGCGCACCATGCTCGACCACGCCTCGTCGCCCGCCACGATACCGCCCGCAACCGAGTTGTCCAGGTATCCCGGCCACGTCGATTTCGTCGCCGACCGTCGCGGTACCCAGATCTGGTACGACGGCGTGTATGCCGTCAGGTGCACGCCGAACGTCGCCACGCCAAACAGGGCACACGCCGCCCGCTCCAGCTTGAAGGCGATCTCGTTGCGACGCCGCGACGACGACGACGACGGTGCGCCATAGACGGCGTACAACTCGTTGCGCCACCCCTCGAGCGGGTCCGGGAACAGGCCAAGATCGCGCCACCGTTCCGTAACTGACGCCATACCCGCGGTCCGCGCATCGGCCGAAGACACGGCGGCGTCAAACGTGATCGCCTTCTTCGGCTGCTTGCCGCCGCGACCGCCATCGCCGCCAAAGAGGCCGACGAGGAGGACGGCCGGCTTGCCCTCCTTGCGGCGCCACGCGATGTCTTGCTCGCACGCGCGCAGCACCTCGGGCCTGAGGAAGCCGATCTGCACGCCGTCGAGCACAAACGGGTGCAGCGAGTCGTCGGCCCACGGATCGCAGTTGTGGCACTGGTGGAGGATGTCGAGGAAGCTCGGCTGCTCGCCCTCGGCCAAGTGGATGGCGAAAGGGTCGTTGCCGCCGGCGTCGTTGCATGCCGCTATCGTCGGCAGGTCGGCGTCGGAACCGCTGCCCTCGATGCCTTCGGCAGAGGCGGAAAAGACGACCGTGTCCTCCATCTCGCGGCGACGGTCGGCCGAGTCCCCGCTATCGTCGCCCTCATCGCCCATGACGAGGCGGGCAATTGACGAGGACATGACCGATGAAATGCGCGAGTCGCGTTCCCGCTTGGCGCGCGACGGGATCGCCGATGTGGAAGTGACAAGTGCGGACCTGACCTTGCTGCTGCTGCTGCTGTTGCTGCTGCTCCTATCTTGCGGTCTCGTCGACGAGGACGAGGAGGCTGACAAAGCACGTGGCGGCGCTTGCTGCTGCTGCTGCTGCTGCTTGCGGGGTGCGGCGGCGCTTGCGGCGCACTCTGGCTGAAAGCGGAGTGGCTGACGCGAAGGAGAAGCCGAGGCGTGCGACGACGCCGTCGCACTAAAATCGAGCGGGGATCGGATCAACGATCGACCCAGGTGCGATCGGGCCGTGGATGCGGCATCGGCGGCTTTTCCACGCGCTGCCCGCGATCCGAATTCGGCTCGGTCCGAGGGTGCATCGCCGGGTCCTGCGTCGTCGTTGGCGCTGTCGCTGCTCCCGCTTCCTGCACCGAGTGCGAGGAGCGAGTCGAGGATGCTCGCTGGGGTCTGAGCGGGGGCGATCAGCGCTCGGGCGGACTGGACCCGGGCAGAGGGTTGCAGAAGCTGCGCAACAGCCTGCGCCTGGATCCTGAACGCTGCGCTGCGTGTTGCAGAGGTCGCCTCGGCCACCTTGCGCAGGCGCAGAGACAGGCTCTCGTCCCGCTCCGAGCCCCGCCCAGAGCTCAGAGCGGCAACTCTGGCGATGGCGGCCAGCAGGGCCTCGCGGGTCCTGTCGTCCTCTGCAGCAATGAGGATGTCCAGCATTGTCGCGAGCAACGAGCCGAGGGCCGAGGCAGATGAGCCGCCCGGCTCACCCGCCGCGAGGTCGGCGGCCTCCAGATCGCAGCAGAGCGAGGCCGCCAGAGGAGCGAGGATCGGAGGCGCGTCAGTCTGCGATGCTTTTTCAATCAGCCGGAGCAGCATCGAGAGCCTCGCCGCCGATGGCAGACCGCGATAGTCGTTGAGCACCCGACCAACGGCTCCCGAGACCAGCAGCGAGCTGCCCTGTGCGTCTTTCGCAGTCGCCAAGATGTTGACGATGCCTTGGGCGTACGAGCTGCCCTGCTGCTCCTGCCCGCCGTCGTCTCCAGACATGATGACCCCGTTGAGCGCCTTGATGTAGCTCGCTTCCAAGGCACGCTCAAGCAGCGCGGCGGCATCGTGCTCGCTGGTGTCCGTTGACCGGGCTCGTGCCACGGAGATGGCCTCGACGAGCTGGTCCAGGTGCATGTCGACGATCTTGGCATCGACTGCGTCGAGGAGCCGAAGGGCCGCCCTACGCACCGTCTCGTCGCGGTCGGCAAGCAGGCTCATGAGCGCGGCCATTTCGCGCTCGCCGAGGGAAAAGGGGCTCCCAGTGTCGTCGACGGCGCTTGCCCATCCCGTAGCTTCGAGGGCCGAGAGTAGCCGGATCGCTGCCACCTTGCGATTGGCGTTGGTCGAGCCGAGCTGATGCTTGACATGCTCTGAAAGCGCAAGCCAGAGCGCTGCCGTCTCTCCATCGACATCGACTGGGCTGGAAGAAGAAGCGGCTGGACCGCCCTTTCGCTTGAGTCGGTAGACGTGGCCGAGGCAACAGGCAGCCGACACACAGACCGCCAGCGCTGCGTCCCGACCCTCGGAAGCGCGCAAGTAGATGCGCAGGAGTGTGCGTTCCAGCTCCATGGCGGCTGCTGCAGATGGATCGACGGGTGGGCCATGGAGTGCCTGCAGCGACGCCGAGATGCTGTCCAGTGACGCGATGACGGCCCAAGGCGTGCGCAGACCATGGTAGTCGAAGTCGGCGGCCACCTTGGATCTCGCCTTAGCCGCTGCTCGCATCCGCAGGCCGTCGAGGCGATTGTTGGAGGCCATGAGGTTGGTGGCGCCGTGTGACAAGCTGGCGACGAGGTGGACGGGTGCCCACTCGAGGCTCTGCAACGCGTTGACGGCCAGGTCGACGGCGTCTGTCGGCGAGAGCACCCGCACGTCTCTGGCCAGCTCAACGACCCGCAGAGCGGCCCTCAAGACTGCCGGATCCGTCTCGACTCGTTCCAGCCCCGGGTCCAGAGTGCTGTCTGCCGCTGAGTCGTCCGAGATGAAAGCCTGCGGGGATGCGAGCATCTCTCGAACGATCTGCAAGGTGGCTTGAAGCATCTCGCCGCCTTGCCGCGGGCCCTGGCTTGGCCCACGCTCCTCGAGGATGAGTTCCTCTTCTTCGTAGGTGGCACATCTCCACATCGCGAGCAGCGCTCCCCTGCGGATGGCGGCGTCCCGATGTCCCGTCAGTCTCAGCAGAGGCGTTGCCAGGGAAGCAAGTACGGATGTGCCGCAAGGTCTGCCGGCCGCGACGGCCGTCAGCGTCGCATGGGTCCGCAGCGCCGTTGTTAATGACTGTGACGAAGGAGACTTGCGAGACATTGCTTGGCCTCCATCGATTAGGTGCTTGCGGAACGTGTTGAGCAGGAGGAGCGAAGGACCCTCGGCTCGACCTCGGTGGTCTGGATCCGACAGCCGTATGGCCGAGTCCGCTTCCGATGCGGCCGATGTGGAGCTCTGTGTGTCGACGAGGTCCGACACATGACCTGTTTGAATCTGGAGGGTGTCGTGGCGAAAGATCGGGATGCCAGCTGATGGGACTAGGTAGGCGAGGAGGGCATGTCCGACGAGCGTGTCCTGCCAGCGGGTGGCCAGTGAGATGAGCTGGAGCGCGGGCAGGAGGGCAAACGAGATGTCGAGGTCCTCTACCGTCAGGGGCGAGTGCGGATAGTGTTCGAGACAGTGCAGGAGGGGCAAGAGGGACGAGGCGGCACTGGCTGGATCGGAAGGTGGCTGGCTAGCGAGCCTGCGTTGGATGGCAGCCACCGTCTCGAGGACGACGAGGTCCCTCTGGCGGTCGTCGGCGGCATCCTCGAGCCGCTTTGCCACGTGGAAGTGCGCACGAGTGGTGCCGGACTCGAGCAGGGTGGGGAACTTTGACATCACGGGCGGGTCCGGATGGGCATCCGAGATGGTAGCAGAGAGAAAAGGTGCGGTGAGGTGTTGGGTGAGCGTGCCAGGGCGGGCAAGCAAGAATCAAGTCAAGTCAGGCCAAGCCAGGCCAGGCCAGGCCGTGCACGGCCCAGCCAGGCGGCCAAGGGAGGTCCCTGCAGCTCACCATGGGTGGAGGCAGCCGGAGCCGCGCAGCCAGCATCCAGCCGGCCTGCTGGCTGCCACGGCGGTGGGCTGGCTGGCTGGCCCAATCAAAAGCAAGCCACGCCCGATGCGGCTGCTTGGCCTGCCTGGCCAGGGCCTGCCTGCGTGCCTGGCCCTGGTCTGCATGGCCTGCCCTTGGCCATCCGGCTGGTCTGGGCCACACCGGGGCCTGGACCTGGCCTCGGTGTCGGTCGGCGAGCGTGGACATCCCTCCCCGCGCCGTCTGCCGTCTGGCCCCCCCACGGCTCGAGAAGATCCACAGAGCCTCGCTCGTGCCGCACCTGCGCTACGCTCGCGTGCTACCGGCCACCAGCAGCCATCCTCGCTACCACCACCATCATCGCCATCGCTCCAGCCGCTCCTGCCACCACTGCTTCGTCCTACCGCCGTCGACAATGCGCTTCTCGTCGTTCCTCGCCACCGCCCTGCTCGCCCTCGCGCCCGCCGCCCTCGTGGCCGCACAGGCAAACGACACTCCCGAGCTCGGCATCGTCACCACCTTCCCCAATAACCCTTTCTCTAGTGAGTCGAGCCGCGTCGCTGCCTCCGCGCACCGCAGAGCTCAACACAGCTGAGCGCAGCTGACATCCGCCCATGCCGATCCTTTTCGCCCGCCTCATCGCTCCCCCACCAGTCGTCAAGAATGGCCAGCCCAACACCGTCGTCTTTTCCATAACCAACCCGCCCAAGGAGGACCGCCTGCTCACCCTCCAGTCGGTCACCGGCGCCTTCTTGAACCTCAAGAAGACCGACGGCCAAAAGGGCCGCGTCGTCCGCAACATGACGACCACCGCCTTCAAGTCGCGCCCGCTCCGCTCCGTCGGCGGCAAGCCCGTCCAGATCCCCTTTGACTTTGTCCCCGAGTTCAAGCCCCAGGAGATGGGCGTCGAGTTCAGCCTCCTCGTCAACGACGAGCAGACCGGCAAGAAGCACCGCATCGAGGCCTACCGCGGAAAGGTCCAGGTCATCGAGCCTCCCAAGAACTGGTTCGACTGGCAGCTCCTCTCGGTCTATGCCCTCGGCCTCGCCTTTGTCGCCGGCGCCGCCCTCTTCGCCTACAACACCTACCTCGCCCCGCAGACGTCCAAGAAGGCCGCGCCCAAGAAGCCCGTTGCCGCCGCCGCCGGACAGGAGAAGAAGGTCGACAGGCCCACGCTCGTCAAGACAAAGTCGGGCGCCTACGAGGAGGACTGGATCGTGAGTGTGCGCGGCGGGATGGGCTCCCTTGCCAACAGATCGCCGACGATGCTGACCAGCTACGCTCTCATCTCTGCGTCCCAACAGCCCGAGGCCCACATCCGAGCTCGCAAGACCCGCTCCGCCGGCGGCGCCCTCAGCAGCGGCGACGACGAGCCCGTCTCGCCCGGCCGCAAGCAGCGCAAGGGCCGCAAGTAGAGAGGGCGGGGCCAATGCGGGGAAAGCGTTGAACGAACAAGCGGAACGACGCGTGGCTTGATGGAACCAGACGGCCAACCAGGTCGGCCTCGCGTGCTCTAGCGCAACGACGCTCGGAGCACCGGGATGGCGTGCGGCGGTCAAGCCTTGTCGTGTCCAACAAGCAAGGCAGCTCCTTTGTAGATATGCATGGTAGAGAGTCGAGGAAATGGTCAATATCCTGCTCAACGAGATCGTATAGACGCGGCTGCACAAGCCCGATCAGGTCGTCGCGGCCACGGGCGAGAGACGGGCAGAAAATCTCGTCGCGACCATACCATCCGATGCGCAAGCGCCACTGCGCAACATCGACATGGCACACAGGCCGACCGTCGAGCGAGGGACAGGCACGTGGCCGACTTCGTCTGGGGCTCTCAGCGTGCCGATGCACAGGACGAGTGGCGGGACGTGGCTGCTGCGGACACCCCAGCGCGTGGAGCTTGCTTGCTTGCTCGCTCTTGGTGACGGCGCAGTGGCGCTCAGTGCGGCGAGGAATTCCTGCTGGATCGGGCTTTTCTTCCGCTGGTTTGGCGTGACAGGTGCGACCCCCGATGGCGATCACGCCCCGCCAGCGCGGCTGGCGCTGGACCCTGCCAGCGAGCCAGCCAGCAGCCTCGCCTCGCCCCGCCCCGCCCAGCCCCGGCGCCTTTTTGGAAGAACGGCGGCGACAGCGCATCACGCAGCCAGCTCGACCCGCCCTCTGGCTGGCTCGCTGGCTGGCTGGCGCGCAAAGAGAGGCCAGGCTGCCGCTGGCCGCTCTCGCTGGCTGGCTGGAGGGCGCGGCCGGCGGCGGGCGGCTCTCGGGCCAACCCACCCACCACGTCAGACTACGCCTGTCTCTCGCCCTGCCCCTTTCTCCTCCTCGTCGACCACCACCTCTTCGCTTCGACCATTGCCTGCTCCTCTCGAAGCACCTCATACAGCACACCACACCGCAAGCTTGACTTCGGGCCACCTCGAGCCATCTCGTACGCCGCAGATCGCACGCCGCTGAAGAGGCTCCGCTCCATCTCAACCAGCTCGTCCCACGCTCCCCGCCCGCCTTGGCCCCGGCTCGACGACTATGGCGCTTTCCATCTTTGTGCCAATCGGCTATATTGCCACGCTGGTCGTGTCGATGCTCGTGTTCTCGCGCATCTACCGTCGGCGCTCGGCGCTCAACTTGGCCAAGGCGCACACGCCCTGGTTCACCGAGGGCAACGAGGCGCGCGACATCTACCAGACGCTGGTGTCGGCGGACCCGGCGGTGCCCGAGGAGATCCTCAAGGCCGCGCTGCTAAATCGTGCCATGGTCGACGTGCGCCGCATCATCCGCATGCGCGACGACAAGCAGGCGCTCGGCGTGCTCCTCCAAAAGGGCAGCATCGGCGACGAGACGATGCAGCGGTTCGCCCTCGCCGAAAAGGAGCTCGAGGCCGAGATCCTCGACGTCGTGTCTGAGGCCAACACGTTCCGCGAGGGATGGGGCCAGCTCATCTTTCCCACGGCGTCCGAGATGGTGGCCCACCTCAAGCATAAGGAGGTCTACTACGACATCCAGAAGCAGAGGCAGGATGAAGGTGAGCACCGGACCGGGGCGCGACCTTGCCGATGCCGTTTACGCGGGACCGTCGCGCTGAACTGTGCGTGGCGTCTCTCCCATTCCCATCCTCTCCTCTTTTTCTTCCGATGACCTTGACACCGCAGTCCGCAAGCTGCAGGAGGCCGGCAAGCCGATCCCGGAGCCGACGGTCGAGCTGCCGCCGCTGATCACGCCTCCCGGAACAACGATCCAGATCCAGGCACCTCCGGAGGGCACCAGCCCGGCGGCGGGTGCTCCCAACGGGCTCGGGCAGCTGCCACCAAACCTCCCACCCGCACAGGCCGCTGCCATCATGCAGGCGCGCGCCCAGCTCCAGGCGATGCAGGAGCAGGCACAGGCGCAACAGGCAGCATCGGCGGCGGCGGCAGCGGCCGCTCCGTCGTCGTCGTCGTCGGGAGACTCGGAGGCCAAGCAGGCGGGCGAGACGGCCAGCGCGGCAGAGGCCAAGGTCGAGAACGGAAGCGCCGCGCCGTCGCAGCCGGCCACGCCAAGCAAGGCCGTCACCGTCGAGGATGCAGACGAGTAGGCGGGGGAAAGTGGGGCCTTCCATGATGTCCCCGGCGAGCATATGGCAGGAGGCCGTACACGACGACGCAACGAAGCCGACTTTGCAATCGACTGCTGTTGCGGTCACCACCGCCGCGTTTCCTCTCGCGGGGCTCTCGTCTGCGACGTGTGTTTCACCTGTTATCGGACCGGACCCGATCGCCAGTCGGTCGCGGTCCGGGTGTCGAATCAGCGACGGCGAGGGGAGGATACCGATGTCTATCGTCCGGAGGCGCGCGGCACTTGCAGGCGGCGGCGGCGGCGGGACGGGAACCCATCCGCTTCCCGGCAGGTCGGTAGCCAAGACGGCGTGGCTCCCGATTCGATCGCTCCTGCCTGCTTACGCTTTGGAAAGCCTGGCCTGGCCTGGTCGTGCGACGGGAGCACTTCCGATGGATCCGCCTATGTAGATTAGCCTCTACCTCCTGCGCAGGTCCCCCCTCCCTTCCCGTTGACGACGACGACGACCGTAGGTGGCCAGAAGGCTCGATGTTTCCCTCCGTACATGAACGTACGAGCGACTTATTGAATCCGTCTTTCTTTGGGCGTCGAGAGGGTTTGACGGCGGCGGTGGGTAGGGACCATCGATGAGCAACGACACCTTCCCGCTGCCTGCGCTGCGTGCTTTCTGGCTTGGCTGCGCCGCCACCCTTTTGCTGAACTCGGCGAGGCGAGACGAGAGCCTGGTCTCGCCGAAGTACCCATGCGTACCCTTTTTTCTGACGATCCGAAGAGGGGACGGGCCCAGGCACCTGTTTGGAAGAGTTTGCACGGGCGACGTGCGCAGCCCAACTTTGGTGCGAAACTGGCGAGTTTGCGCTGCGCAGCGCATCCACCCAAATTCGGTCGGCGACGCCCCTCTTTCGAAACCGTACCCAGCCGCCGTCACGCCGCTCAAACCTGCCAAAATCGATGCTCAGCACGTTGTCCAATTCGGCTTGCGCCTTTCGGAGTCGTTGTGCGCATGCAGCACAAAGCAAGCACCCCAGAACGCACCCCACGACGGGTAGGTGTTCGTCGGCGGCTCATTATTGAAGCTCGCAAAGGCAACCCGACCGAGGCGGGCGAGCGGGCGCAGAAAGGAAGCCAGCCCCCGAGGAAAACGACCCAGCCAGCCAGCTACCTGTAGTCTGCTGCCCGCGAGCTCGCTCGGAGGCGGTGCTTGCCGAACCGACGCTGCAGAAGGCCAAGGCCAAGGCGAAGGCGCGCTGCTCGCTTCTCGCCCGCAGGCTGGAAAGCCGGCCCTCTCCTCGGCTTCCTTGCTCCTTTCTCGTCGTCCGTCCAGGTAGGCGGCGTGCCTTCTTCTTCTTTTTCTCCTTCGAGGCGCTCTTCGTCGTCGTCGTCGCAGCAGGTCAGGCTATCACGCCCGCCTGTCTGTGAAACGTACCGCCGCTACGTACGTACGTACAAACACAACAAGCAGCCGAGGGATTTCGCACGTACGGTCAACCGCACCGTACCGTACCGCGTATGTACATAGCTAGCTTTATGATGTGTAAGCGTTCGTAGGGCACCGCCTTTGTCCGAGCGGCAGGTAGCGGCGGCGTACAGCAGCATCTTTTTAGCACGCGCGACGTATGGAACCGACGACGACGTCGCTGCGCTCCTGCTGGGGCGAAGGCAGAGAGCTCGAGCGAGGTGAACTGCTGGCTAGCTGGCTGGCTCTTTCGCTGCTTCTTCATAGAAGCAGACGTACGACCGACCCGCCTCATCCGACCCCCGTTGCACCCTCTTTTCTCGAGGGCCGGCCTGCCTGGCCTGCTGGCATGGGCCGACGTGCTGGCTGGCTGGCTGGGTGGGCTTCCGTACCCACACGCCTGCACGCACGCACGCACGCACGCTTGCATGCGCCCGCGGCTTTTGGCGTCTGCCCGTCTGACTAGCTGCGGATGGCCCAGAGGCAGACGGACACGATACGCTACGATACGATCCGCACGATCCGACAGCGGGCCAGGTCGCTAGCAAGCAGCACGCAGCAGCCAAGAAGGCAGGCGCTCCAAGCGCAGGCGCGCGGCCATGACCTGAACTGGGCAGGACGACAGCGACAGACCCATCATCCCCCAGCAAGGACCCGCGACCGCAACCGCAAGCGCAGAGCCAACACCCTGCCTGCCTCTCTGCCTAGACTACCGGCCTGCCAGCAGCCAGCAGCCAGCCAGCTGGCACCTGGCTTGCTGTATGCATGCTGGTTGCTTCTTTTGCTTTGTGCTGCTTGCCCGCCTGCCGTTTTCTCTTGGCCCGCACGCGCAGATAGAGCGAGAGAAGCCGACCGGGTGCCCGGGCCCTTCGACCGACGGCCTGGCCTGGCCGCCTGCCTGCCTGCCTAAAATCACCTGCTTGCATTTGGCCTCGACGTGGTGGCTGCGCCCTCCTGGGCTCACCCCCTGGCCCCCGGCTGCCGTGCACTGCCCGCCTGGCCGCCTGTTCGCCTGTTCGCCTGTTCGCCTGCCCCAGCCGCCTGCCTGTCGGTGGTCTGCTCGCCTGTCGTCCTCTCGCTCACCACCACTCTCGCTCACACATCCGCTCGCTCCCCTCATTCGGCGCGCACAAGCGCACTCCGCTAGGCCACGCACTACCTTCTTCCACCGTCATCACCATCACCACCAGCACCACCAGCACCAGCACTGCCACCACCATCATCGTCCTCTCTCTGCCTCACATCTCCTACCCCCTCCACCGACGCGCTTTCATTCCACCCCCTGCTGCCGCTCGCGCCCACCTCGTCGATCGTCATCGCCTTCGACCGCTGCTTTCCCCCCTCACTCGCTGGTCCCGCAGCCGCTGTCGTTGCCGTCGCCCCGTCCCACTCAGCGACCGCCTTCTCGAACCTCGGCCCCGTCCTGACGACCCGTTTTTACGACCTCGCTGCTTGTATCGGATCCCTCGTGCATCCATCTTCGCCCTCCGCCCATCTGCTATCACCCTCACCAGATCAGCCAGCGCATCGCCCCCTTGGCATCCTCCTCCGTCCCACACGCACCACCCCTTCGACCTCGACCACGATCACCTGCTTAGGCCGTCGACACTCCGACCCCGGCTCCCCCTCGTCACGACCCTTCGAGCCTGCTCGCATCTCTCGGCAGCGTCGACGCTCGCCTCGATCGAATTCAAGGTCCTCCGCCGCTCGCCCATCCCGTCGTCCCGTCGGCTGGTGCTTCCACCCCTCCTGTCCAGCACAAAGTCAGCCTCACCTTCGGCTGCCGACTCGTCGCACCTTCCTCTCGCCCATCACTGCGGACGTTTTTTAGCCGCGGCGAGTCAACCCCTGCCCCGCCGCTGTCGCTCCTGCTAACGCGCCACCGACCAGCAGCGCGGCGCATCATTTCGCCACTTGGCTAGTCAGACAGCCAGCACCTGTGTCGACCAGAGGCACTTTTAACCTGGCCCTCGCCATTGCGTCACCTCGACTCTTGATGGCCATCACCGGTCGCACCGTCGCCGCGAACCTGACTTTCCTTCCACGGCTTGATCGAAGCCGTCACTACAGGCTCCTCCTCTGTGCCTCGCGCTCTGGCTGAAGGCCGGACGATTATAGACACAGGCAGACGCCGCCTGGAGCGACCGTCGTAAGCGGTTGCAAGCGCACGCGCGGCGGCAATTGCACCGTCGATTTCCGCGCAGCGCACAGAACAAGGAAGAAGCAGAAGACGGCTACGATGGCCGCCACCACGCAGAGCGCCTACGCCGGCGTCGGCGGCGCTGGCCAGGATCTTGACCCGAGCGAGCCGCCGTCGTTTTTCGTGCGGGCGCTGTACGACTTTGAGTCGAGCGACGCCAGCTCCCTCTCGTTCCGCAAGGGCGCCGTCATCGAGGTGCTCACGCAGCTCGAATCGGGCTGGTGGGACGGTCTAATGGACAACGACGTCCGCGGCTGGTTCCCATCCAACTACGTCGAGCCCATATCCGACGAGGAGGCTGAGCTGGAGCTTGCCGCACAGGCCGCGGCGCAGGACCAGTTTGCGCGCGCCGGCGCCAGCCCAGCGGGCTCGACCGCCAGCGCGTTTGCCGGCCTCGGTCTCGGAGGCGGCTTCGACAGCCTCCACACCCTCATCAAGGGCGAGGGGCTCGGCGCCAGCGACGCCTTCGGCCAGCTGGCAGAGGCGGCGATGCTCGATCCACGGCGGGGCATGTTTGGCCTCGGCGAGTCGGTCGACGGCGGCAGTTCTGGAGGCGACCAGAGCCGGCGCTTTTCCCGCACCGGCGGTGCCGCTCCGCCGCTCAACCTCGACGTGCGCAACTCGACCATCAGCATGAGCTCGTTCGGCACCACCGACGCCAGCTCGCGCTTTGACTCGCCCGTCCACTCGGATCTGACATCGCCGCAGACCCGCAGCCAGTCAAACTCGGTCAGCGAGGCCGACCGGTCCAAGGAGCGCATCGGCGGCAGCGCATCGACGTCGGCTGCCGAGCGCGAGCGCCTGCGCGCGATGTCGCTCTCGACGACCTCCGACCCGCGTCAGGGCGGCTACCCGGCGTCGCTCGGCGTCAGCCCGCTCGGTCGGCCGAGGGCAGCCACGGGTTTGCAGGCGGGTCAAGCAGATCTCGGCAACGGCAGCGCGCCGTACAGCACGCTGCAACGGCACCAGCAGCAGCTGCAAAAGGGCGACGGCGAGCTCTGGGTGCCCAAGGTGACGGACCGCGGCGAGGTGAGTCGGCCAAGCCTGCCATCGCAGCATTGTTCCACAATCATGCCCGCGCTGACGCTCCCTCCCCCTTCATCGCCGCAGGTTGTCTACCTCAACACTCGCACGCAGGCCATTTCTCAGGAGGCCCCGACCACCAAGACGTCGAGGTCCTCGCTCGAGGACGTCGACGGGGCCCGCCCGCCGTCTTCGGCCATGATGCGGCCGACGGGCTCGTGGCAGGGAAGCTCGGCCCAGTCGAGGCGGAGCGGGACCAACAGCGCCAACATGTCGAGCCGACCGTCGTCCTCGAACGCCACCAGCAACTCACGCCCTTCGTCGGTCAACAGCAACCACACGGCGGTGCTGATGGGCGGCGGGGGCAGCGGCGCTCGCAGTTCCCGCCCGCCGGCTCGCAACGCCGTCGAGTTTCTTCCCAACCCGAGGGACGTGCCGGCTCCCTGGAAGCTCCGACTGACCGACGACGAGCGCCACTTTTTCTTCTGCCACAAGCTCACGCGCGAGGTCCGCTACGAGCTGCCGACGGACTCTGAGCGCCGGCCGACGCGGAGCCGCGCCAGCAGCTCCATCAGCCTGCACGACGAGGTGCTGGATCCGGCCATGATGGACGGACGCACGTCGAGCATGGGTGGAGCGGACTCGGACGACTCGGATCTCGACGGGGCGGTCGCATCGAAGCTGCCGGGCAAGTCGCCGCGAGGCCGGATCCGGCTTTCGCAATCGTCTGCGGCGGCCAAGGACAACGACCAGTGGGGCTTGGCGTCGATCGCCCACGACCCGATCTTCGCAGCGACCGCCAAGCCTCCTCCGCCCACGCTAGTCGAGGATGGCAAGGCGGCCCTCGAGGCCCAGAGGCAGCTCGGACCGGGACAGCCGACCCAGGTGGCGGTGCTGGTCCGCAAGGCGCACGAGGCGATCCGGTCCATGGCGGCCATCGCCTGCGAGCAGATGGGCACCGACGGCCTGAGCGATGCGGACCGCGGAGGCCCGATTGTGTCCGACGACGGCCTCTACCTTCCTAGGCTGGCCACGGCGGCGGTCTCGGTGGTGGCGGCCATTCGAGAGGTCCTTTACGCGGCCGGCTCGCTGGCGCTGCTCTCTGCCGACGCCCAGACGCTGTCGGGCCTGCTTGTGCTCGACGCCTCGGGTCGCCGCGCGGGTAAGAGGCCGGCGGGCGCCGCGCTGCTGGGACCAACCGACTTTGCCGAGGTCGTACGGGCGCTCCAGGGCAGGACGTCGTCGGACGCCAAGCTGCTGCGCCTTGCTGGCGCCTCGACGGCCGACCAGGTCGCTTCGATCCCCGCCTTCATGTACCCGATCGGGCGCAAGATCAACGCCACCATTTCCAAGCTGGTGTTGTCGTCGAGGCAGGTCATCGATCACACGGTGACGCTCAGCTCGTCGCCGACGTCGCGCAAGGAGAGCACCATGACCGAGCTCGACGCCGAGACGTTCGAAAAGATCTACCAGTGCCGGCAGCGGCTGCGCGAGGATGCTCTGGAGCTGAACCGGTTGCTGCAGTCGTTTGGCGACGAAGCCGAGCGGGCGCGGGCCAGCGCCCTCTTCACGTCGAGCGGTCGGGGCTGGCTGAGGAGGATCGAGGGCGGCGTCGAGGGTCGCTCCGGCCTGGGCGGCGCGGGCGCGACGACGCTGGGCGGCGGCATGGCGGCGGGCTGGCAGGGCAACGGTTTCGCTCTGCCGACCGCCTACGAGACCGCGGCGCTGCGCACCGAGGCTCAGGGAAAGTTCAACAACCCGTTCGAGCTCAAAAAGGACTTTCACAATGCGCTCGTCCGCGGCCGGGCAGCGCTGGTGCGGAGGCCGACCTCGCCGCTGTCGCAGAGCCTCCTGCCGGCCCTGCAGTCGCAGCAGGATGCCCTCAAGGAGGACCTCGACGCTCTGCGGACCAGCTTGGAAGCGCCTGGCTCGCAAGATTCGTCGTCGAAACGAGCAGAGGCGGCGCTTCTGCGCTGCGGCACTCTGCTGGCCCTCGTCGAGGATGTCGATGTCGCCTCGTCGGTCGACGTCGATGGCCTGACGGCAAAGGAGATCCAGGGATCGGCCATCAATCAGCGGATTGCCTCGCGCGCGGATCAGGCACGGACCCTCGTTCGTCGCCTTGGTCTGTTGAAGCAGGCCACCTACGACGCCAGCTCGGACCTGCTCGTCGCGATCCAGGAGGCCTCCTCGGCCGCCGACGCCCTAGAGCAGGCTGCCCGGGCATCGAGGGCGACCGATGTGCTGTCCCGCCTGTCATCGGCACTAGTCAAGACGCTGTCCGACTTGGCGCAGGTGGCCGAAGACCAGCTCAAGGACGCGGCGCCTCACCTCGGCGCGCGAGCCATTGTCTACGAGCTGGACGGCGACCAGGAGCTCGCTCGACAGCCGGTGACTTCCGCCGCAGACGGCGCGATCGACGGTGCTGCGATGCCCGCTGCGACGGGCGGCGGAGGGCGCTCGTTTAGCGTGCCGACGGTTGCGACGTCGGGTGCCGACGATGACCCTGCCAGCGAGACCGAGGTCATGTTCCTCGGGCCGGGCATTGCCGTGCCCAATGGCCCGCGCTCCCGCAACCGGAGCCCTGCTGGCGCGATCGGTTCGTCGGGCTCGGTGCCGCCCGCCGCTCCCTCTACGGGCACCTCGTCGTCCTCGGGCGCGGTGCTGTCCTCATCGCGAGGCGGGACGCTGGGCTCGATCGTCAACCGGCAGCGCTCGACGTCTGTGACGACCGGCGGCTCGACCCGATCGATGCAGTCGCTGCAGGAGACGACGCGCAGCCTGCTCAGTCGCCGCGGCACGCTGGCCGATTCACACACGCCCACCAGCATCGACGAGGGCGACGAGGGCCGCAACTCCGGCCAGAGGGCGCGGCGGATGCTGGGCGACGATGCGCCGCTCTCGGCGCAGTCAACCCACGAGAGCGAGGCGAGCAGTATCAACAGCAGCCTGAGGCGGCGCGAAGAGGAGCTGCCGTGGTACCTCGAGCCGGACTACGACCCCAACGACATCCTCATGGGCGCCGACGGCCAGGTCAAGGGCGCCACGCTCGAGGCGCTCATCGCCCGCGTCACCAACCACAACTCGTTCGACACCAGCTTCAACAACACGTTCCTCATGACCTACCGCTCGTTCACCACGACCGAGGAGCTGCTCGAGCTGCTGTTCGCCCGCTACCGGATCGCGCCGCCCGACGGGCTGACCGAGGACGAGCTGGGCGTGTGGACGGAGAAGAAGCAAAAGCCGATCCGCCTGCGCGTCTTTAACTTGCTCAAGTCGTGGCTCGAGGGCTACTTTTACGAGGGCGAGGACGACCGCCACCTCGACCGGGTGCGCCGCTTCGCACTCGAGGAGATGTCGCAGTCGCCCTCGATGAAGGCGCCCTCGCACCAGCTGGTGCGCCTCGTCGAGCGCCGGCAGGGCGAGGGCGAGCAGATGATCCGCAAGATGGTGCTGCCGACGTCGGCGCCGCCGCCAATCCTGCCCAAGAACCTCAAGAAGCTCAAGCTGCTCGAGATCGACCCGCTCGAGATGGCGCGCCAGCTGACGCTCATCGAGAGCCGCCTCTACAACCAGGTCAAGCCGGCCGAGTGCCTGGGCCTCAAGTGGACCAAGCCGGGCAACGAGGTGCACGCCAAGGGCATCATGGAGAGCATCAACACCCACAACCGCATCAGCGCCTGGGTGGCCGAGGCCATCCTGCGCCAGGAGGACCTCAAGAAGCGCTCGACGCTCATCAAGCACTTTATCGGCATCGCTGACCGCTGCCGCGCGCTCAACAACTTTTCCGGCATGTGGGCCATTGTCTCGGCGCTCTCGACGGCGCCCATCCACCGCCTGCGGCGCACCTGGGACGCCGTCAGCCAGAAGCACGTCATGATCTTTGAGAGCCTCGAGACGCTGATGAGCGCCAGCCGCAACTGGGCCAACTACCGCGAGCTGATCCACAAGCTCAACCCGCCCTGCGTGCCGTTTCTCGGCCGCTACCTGGGCGACCTCACCTTTATCGAGGACGGCAACCGCGACCGCCTCAAGGACGACGTGCGCCTCATCAACTTTGGCAAGCGACAAAAGACGGCCGAGGTCATCCGCGAAATCACCATCCACCAGTCGACGCCCTACAACCTCACCCCCGTGCCCGCCATCCAAAAATTCATCGACGACAACCTCGTCGAGAGCCGGACCGCCGACGAGCTGTACGAGCAGAGCCTGGCCCTGGAGCCGAGGGAGAGGTGAGTGCCGGCCCAAGGCCCAGCAGAAAGTGCGTCAAGTCCGTTCGAACCATGTCGCTGACCCCAAACGTCGCTTCTTGCCTCTATCCCTGCCCGTCTGCTTTTCTGGTCTTGCAGGGAGGACGAGAAGATCGCCCGCCTGCTGCAGGAGAGCGGCTTCCTTTGAAGCGCCGCGTCGCGCCGCGCCGTGCCGCATTCCGACATCGGCCCGACCTCCGGGTTTCCTTGTGTCCTTCCGGCAACGACTGTGGCCACCGCTGCCGTTGCCTCTAGCTCTGTTGCTGTCCTGCTATCCCGTCGTAGTCGCTCCGCCAGGCCTGGCCGTCACGGCCCTCGGTGGCTGCCGTCGAAATATTCAAATTGATACCCGCCAGCCTTCGTGGTGCCATCGTGTCTGCCCATCGGTCTTCCCGCATCTGCTCAGGCAGGCCTCTCATGGTCAATCGAGCTCGGTGAAGGTTCACTCTGCTGCCCGCCGCTGAGTCGGTGCACGATCGTGTGGGTGGTTGACGACGTGTCATACAGGATGGCGTGGAGAGTGACAGCCAGGGTAGGGTGGGATGATGGGGCAGGAATGGGTGAGCGAGCGAGTGAGGTAGCGGGGGATGGGTCGTACGAGGGTGCGGGTTGGAGATGGGGATGGGGACGGCGAGAAGAGAGACATGGAGCGAGAGGAGATGCAACAGGCGGACAGGCCGGGCCGTGCAGGGCTCAGTTGACGGCGGTGAACGTGACGCCGTTGAAGGCGTGGTGCTCGGTCGTACCCTTGCTGCCCCTGGTGGCGCCCTCGAACGTGACTGTCGAGGGCCGAACAAGGGAGAGGGAGAGAGCAGAGAGTGGGAGGGTATCGGCGTCAGCTCGTTTGATAGCGATGACGAGCTGCGCCGGGGGACGCCGCGCCGTGGCGGGAACTCACCATTGGCACCGCGCGTCGAAAGAATCTCCGCGACGCTCCTGACGGGACCATCGTTCTGGATGCGCCAGGGCTGCACACACCCGTACTGGTCGAAGGCAGCGTACTTGGGGTAGAGACACTTGTTACCCTCTGCCGAACAAACCTGCGCATTCCCTCCCTTCCTGCCATCGGCGGCGGCGGGGGCGGGGGCGTGGCACGCGCGCTCCTGGCACTGGTGGGCCGGGACGGCATGGCACTGGTTGGCCCAGCTGTAGGGCTGGTTGAGGTCGCACACGATGTTGAACGCCTTGCCGTGCGCATTGACCAGCGCGAGGCCGTCGAGGTTGCGTCCCGACGAGTTCTGCACGCACAGCTTCAACGACCCGTCCACGAAGACGGGACCGATACCGTCCAGCGATAGGTGCGCCTTGACGGGTCCCGTCGTTGCGGGCGCGGGGCTGGGCGCACCGTTGATGAGCGGCAGGAGGCCGAGGGTGAGGGGAAGGAGGAAATGCATCTTTGGAAACACGAGGCAGGCAGAGCGGGTTGGGAGGCTGAGTTGAAGTCGTGTAGATGCGAGACGAGCGGAAGTCGGCGGAGGTTGGCGAGAGTGAGGCAGGAGGATGGGAGGCTAACTAGGCCTTCCTCCGCGCATCCAGAGCGGCCTCTATATGGCCTCTAGATGCCAGGCTGCGACGGCCTAGTTGAGCAGGCCCAGCAGGAGTCGCCAAGGAGCTAGTGGACGGCTCGAGGACCCGAGAGATGTCCCTCGACGGACAAAAAGATGACGATGTCGGTGACGGTGATGTGGGCGTGAAGAGCAGCGCCGCGCCTTCGGGCCCCCACACGGCCGCGTGGCGCCCACCTCTCCTGGATCATTCATGAGTGGTGCGAGAGCTTTGACCGCCTTGACCTCGGGCACCCGCCAACCGACGCCATCGACCACCGGGGCGTGACCACGTTTCAACGAACGACGACGAGCCCTTAGGGCAAATTTCCACCGAATCGCGCGGCGGTCCCGGCGACGTGGCAGGGCGGCAGAAAGGACCACGCACGCTTCTGCTGTTGCACGTCTGTAGGTGAGGTCGTCCAGGCAACACTGGCCCCGCCACGAGTGTCGCAGTCCACGACTGGCCGACAATCATTGCTGCGCCCGTCGTCGTTGACGTTGCAGCGGGGCGGACCTCGAAGAGGGACGTACGACGAATCGCCACGCGGCACCGTCCGTCACTCTGGTGGGCACGGCTGAGCTGCGCTTTTTGCCTTGTTCACCCACCGAAAGACTAGGCTGGTCATGGCCTGTGACTCGTGGCGGTACTCCTTCTGGGCTCCGGCAGAACCCCCGAACAAGGTGTTCGAAAGGTTTGCTTCGTCAACGCCTCCAGCCCCCGGATCCGCCCGGGGCTGTCGACCGGCCGCGGTCCGCAAGGCGTGCCGGTTCGGTGGCAGCACACGCGGCCTTTCAGAGGCTCAATTCGTCGCGGCTTGCCTGCACAGGGCTGCGCCGAGCAGCCCCGCATCAAAGCGTTGCAGCTTGACAGCGGTGCGCTGCCACAGTCGTGGTCTGTTGGCAAGGCGTCGTCGGATGATGCCGAGTGCCGACTGCAGCGACCGGCATCGACCCCGATGTTCCTTGCTCGGAGCCAGAGCTTGGCACGCAACTCCTCAAACTTCTACCTTTGCACACCTCAGCGCAGGAGCATCGCGGCAGGTTGCGATGGGCCTTGAGATTGCGGCAGCGACGGCGCCACAGGAGGGCGCCAAGATGGCTCTGACTTGATGGCTCAGGCCGTCGACGGTGGTCTTGCCGACCATGCTACAGACAGACGCACGCGGCCCTGCATCCGATCGGGAAACGTGTCAAGCAAGATGGATCGGCATGAAAATTGCGGAAGTGCGGCAGTCCCGGAAGGGAAATGGGCGCTGAGATCGGGCTGCGCTGCTCAAGCTTAAGGTCAACAGTTAAAGCGCTGGGCGCGGTGAACGTCGCCCGGCGGCTACTTTTCCGCGGCCTTTGCCGATGCGCAGATGGAGGCAGGGATACTGTGGTCGATCGACATCGAGGTCGACGACGTACGACAACGACGGGCGACGGCGACGGCGAGGGCGACGGCTATGTGCCAGCCTAGCGCTGGGCAGCTGAAGAGAGGCAGGCCAAAACCGACCGAGGCGTGGCGAGGACGAGAGAGAGCCCCAGGATGTCTGCTAGGCGCCCTCGCGAGATCGGTAGGGTACCGCCGATTGGGGCTCGCTTTTGGCTTGGCTTTCGGGGCGCTCCGATTCGATGGCCTGGCCCGGCCTGGCCTGGACGGCCTGCCAGCTGCTCGTACGTCGTGTGATGTCTGCCGGGCTGCGGACGCGCCTCCAGCCTGACCCGGCATGGCCGCTGCCTGCCCGTGGGCCCCTCAGCTTCTCTGCCTATATGCCTGTCGGCTGCCCCGCGCTGCCCCGTGCTGCTTGTCTGCCTGCCTCGTCGTCGTCGTTGGCCACCACGATATCGCCAGGCGACGGGTCGCCCGTGCGTGACGAGCAGATGGGGGCTCGTCGCCGTCGGACTCTGAACGGTCAGCCATCAGGTCCCAGACCTCACGCCAGCACGCAGAGGGGTCGCCGCCATTCGCTGGGTCAGGCGGCAGACCGAAGTACGGCACACCGTCTGCGCTGTACTCCATCTCGTCCTCCGCTCTACGTCGGCCTGCCTCTCTGTCGTCGTCGTCGTCGTCCTTGTCGCCGGGTGACCGAGTGACCGAGTGACCGCGGCGGGCATAACCTGGCCTGCAAGACCCAGGGGTTCGGTAGGGTGACGAGGCGAGAGCGATGCATCCTGCGCTGTCTCTGTGCGCGCGCGCTTAAGTCCGCAACCCGAGCCTTCCCCCCCCCCCTAGCCTGCCTCTGCTTTTTTCTCTCCCTCTCTGGCTCTCGGCCCAGCTGCCTGGCTGGCCCCGGCCGCTTGCCTTGGCGAGCGCTTGGCGAGCCAGTTGGCGCGCGACCCTGCCTAGTACTCCTGGCCTGCCCCACCCTGGTCAAGAAGCCGTGACTCAGAGAGAGAGAGAGACGAGAAAGGTGCCAGGCAGGCTGCGCAGCCGCGGCGGAACTCTTCCGGCGCCGATGGCAGCTCGACGATACGATGAGATGGCGAGGGCCCGCTGCATTAGTCTGCAGCAGCAGGGCCGGCGATGAGACGGTGGTGGTGGCACCGACGCTGGTGACGGCTTCAGCCAGGCAGGCCAGCGAGAAGAATCGCTGGGGCCCCTCCGCTAGGCTGCTGCCGTTGCACGATGCCCTGCCGCGCCAGATACAGGTATTTCGCCAGTGCGGCGGCGGCTACGGTATGGTGTGGCAGGGTTTGGCCAGGCAGGGTCAGGGCGGGCCAAGAAAAGCGAGGCGGGGCCAGGCGTGGCCAGGCGGCAGGCAAACGGTGACGCTTTGTCGCGCGGCGGGCGAACCCTGGCCCTCAACCCCCCCACCAAAAGAAGACACGGACGGCCTCGCCGGGAGCAGCGTGCCTCGTCGAGGGTGCTGCCGACCCGCAGTCGGCCCTTTCTTCTCCTCAACATCCATCAACGCCCACCACCGCCACCACCACCATACCCACCATCCACCTGCCTCTTCGCCTCCGCAGTCGCCATCCTACCCACACCGCGAGCTCATCGTCGTCTCCAACCTGCTCCGCGACCTTGCTCCGACCCTCGGTCACTTTCGAAAGCATTGCAGGCCCCAGCAGAGGACGTCGCCCGCGCCGGATCGACTTTATTTGCCCCTCGAATACACCACTCCGGCGCTCGGAATCAGCCCGACGCAGCTGTAGCGCCCTCCTCCGGCTCGCTCCTCCTCTGTCAGCTCCCAAGACCGGCCGATCCGGTAGGTTGCGACCCCTCCACGGCGGACGGCGAGGTTTCGCTGGGATTTTCCCGCCTGCCCGCCTGCCTGCCTTTCTGAGCCGACAACATGCCCACCAGCAACGCGCCCCACGCCAACGGCACGGCCGAGCCAGCCTCGGCCGGATCCAACCAGGGCTCGGCCTCGCCCAGCTCCCAGTCGTCGGGGCACCCGCTGCGACCGGCCCCGTCCGCCGGCGCAATGCGGCAGTCGCCCGCCGCCACCTCGACATCCGGCGCGGGCCAGATCACGCCGCTCCGAACCAGCAGCGGCACGCTGATCACGCCCAAGCCGCTCAGCGCCCGCGGTCCAGGCACCGTGGCTGATGCCGTAGCCGCCTCGCTCGGCAGCAAGCGCGAGCGCAAGCGCAAGCGGATCCACTACAGCTGCGCCGAATGCCACCGCAGGAAGCACAAGTGCGACCGGCAGACGCCCTGCCAGCCATGCATCGACCGCGGCCTCGGCGACAGCTGCCGCCCCTTTGAGGACGGCGACCAGTTCGGCGACATGCGGGACCGGGTGCAGCGACTCGAGGACATCGTCGAAGGCCTGGCGGTGGCACAGGCCGAGCTGGCAAAGGAGCTGAGCGAGGCGCGCAAGGGCGGGTTCGAGTATCAGGAGATGGAATCGAGCGGCGACGAAAACGACGGCGAGCAGCAGACGACGGCCGACGGCCAGCCGCGGCCCAAGCCGAGGAAGAAGCGGCGCCTCATCCGGCCCGACACGGTGCGGGGCATGGAGCGCGAGGAGCTGTACAACTCCGAGGCGCAGGCCATCGCCGCCGTCAAGGGCGAGACCATCGACTCGAGCTCCAACCAGCGGCCCAGCTCGGGGCGGCGCTACGACGAGGGCGGCAACCCGCTCGAGGGCGGACTGGCGCGCGACGGCGACAGCTGGTTCGGCGCGCTGGCGCTGCCCTCGGTGTCGCGCGGCGTCATCGAGACCGAGATCAACGGCGAGCGGCTCGAGCTGGGCGCCAACTTCCCGCGCTTCCCGGCGTCGGTCAAGCTGCACCGCCTCATCCACGAGGGCGGCGCTCCGGAAAACATCCTCTCGCAGCTGATGAACTGCCTGCCGAGCAAGCAGGACACGGATCGCCTGCTCGACATCTACTTCCGCGACATCAACCACACGCGCCTCCCCATCCACGAGGGCACCTTCCGCCAGTCGTACGAGGAGCTCATGGAGTTCCGCTGGGGCGACGCAAAGGAGGAGCGCGGCGACGACGGTGCCCGCCACGTGCCCTTCCTCGCCTTCCTCTTCTCGATCCTGGCGACGGCGATGCGTTCTCTCCCAGAGAGCATGGGCACCGAGGCCGAGGCCAAAAAGGGCGCCATGCGGCTCTACCACGCCTGCCGCCGCACGATCAACATCGCCTCGACGATCCGCGTCGACCACATCGACCTCGTCCTCGCCCACCTGTTCGCCGCCCGCTTCCTCATCTGCCAGAGGCAGAGCGCAGAGAGCTGGTCGCTCCTCGGCACCGCCATCCGCGCCGCCCAGGCCATCGGCCTCCACCGCGACGGCAGCAAGCTCGGCCTCGACGCCATCACCACGGAGCGCAGGAGGAGGCTGTGGGCGCTCATCTTCCACATGGACAAGACCACCAGCATCCTCCTCGGACGGCCCCAGGCGATCCAGGAGTTCCACTGCGACACGCTGCCGCCTTCGGACGTCGACATCGACACGATGCCCCGCGCCGCCCGGCCCTATGTCCCGCGCACCAAGGCGAGGCCGCACGCGCCGCCGGGCGTCTTCCTCTTTGTCGCCATCCGACACGAGCTGGCGCGCCTCACGGGCAAGATCGTCGACCACTTCCAGAACCTCGCCAGCCCGCGGCGCTACGCCGACGTCGTCGCCCTCGACGAGGAGCTGGAAAAGTTCCGCCGCGACTTGCCCGACATCTACCGCATGGACCGCGCAGAGGACGGCAGCTGCACCGGCACCGACAAGAGCTTCGACGACGTCTGCTCCTACCTGCCCCTCCACCGCTACCTGCTCAACATCGAGTACCACTACGTCCGCATCGCCCTGCACCGGCCGTATGTGCTGCGCAACAGCGAAAAGTACTCGCACTCGCGAGCCGCCGCCTTTGAGAGCGCAAAGACGGACCGCATGGTGCGCCACGAATACCGCAAGGACGTCAAGTGGGAGCCGGACCGCGCCAGAAAGGTCCACATGGGCGGCCTCTACCGGCTGTTCAAGTGAGTATGCTGCGGCGTGGACCTTGGCAAGTGTGCCAGCAGGATCCTTGGTAGTGCGAATGCTGACTTAGCGTGCGATCGCGATCCCATCTCGACCCCTCTCCCGTCCTCACCTCCCCGCAGCGCCACCATGATGATCGGCATCGCGCTCTTGCTCAATCCGAACGGGCCCGAGGCCGAAGACTTCCTCTCGTTCCTCGACGAATTCATTGAGCACCATCGCAACCGCGGCACCGGCGGCGGCGACACGGATCAGTGCACCAAGCGCGAGGTCAAGATCATTGAGCTCTTCCGCGCCAAGGCGCGCGACCCGACGTGGTGCGCCACCTCGGGCGCGGCCGCCGATCGGAGAGAGAGCGCCGCCAAGCAGGACGCAGCGGATTCGGCGGCGGCAGCGGTGGCAGCAGCTTCGGCCAACGCCGCGTCGAGCGGCGGCAACGCAGCGGGCGCATCTGCTGGACGCGGCCAGGCGTCTACGGACAAGGGTGGCCGAAACGGCACTCCGGCTCGGTCAGCATCGCAGCCGTCGAGCGAGGATCAGGTCAATGGCCTGCAGCACTGGATCAACCGCAAAGGCCAGACCAACCCGCACAGCGAAGCGCTGAGCCGGGTGTTTGATGCCGGCAGCAATGGCGGTGCCCGCGCCTTCAACATTGCGCAGTTTTTTGGCAACCCGTCGGCGGCCCCCCTGCCCGCCGGCATGGCCAGCGTCAACGGCAACGGCACCGGTGCCGCAGGTCCCAGCTCGACCCACAGCGGCGAGGGCGTCACGCCTCCGCCCTTTACCGGCCTGCTGGCCCAGAATGGGCTGGCATTGGGAGCCGGCGCCATGGGCATGGGCCTCAGCGGCGTCAACATGTCGTCGGCCACGTCCAACGAGACGCAGGGCGACCTGGCGCAGAGCATCTTTGACCAGCTCGGCGGGCTGGAAAACAGCCTGGGCATGCTCAACCCAACGTCGAGCGAGGGCCTCAACGGGCTGGGCTACGGCACGGGCACCGACGGGATGCAGAGCAGCGTCGGCTTCGACCCGTCCGTGTTTGACCTGTCGACGTTCTGGTCGACGCAGAACGGCAGCAGCGCCGCCACCGAGGCGAGCAGCGTCAATGGCCTCGGCGGCACCGCCGCCGCCATGGAGTCGTCGCCGCAGACGCCGATGACGTCCGGAGCGGTGTTGGGCGCCACGCCCGGCGTCGTCAGCGGGTCCGCATCCATCAATATCCCGGCCAGCGTCAACGCGTACGACGGAAGCGCCGGCGGTCCCAATGGCCAGGGAGGCGGCTCCACGCCATCGTCGTCGGCACCGTCGTTCCGCCCCGTGGCGCACCCGCACCTCCGCGCACTGCAGGCAGCGGCGGCCAACGGCACGCTCAATGCGCAGCATCTGCAGTCGCTCGGACCCGATGCGCTTGCCAACCTGGCGGCGCAGGGGGCGGGCTCGTCGGGCGACCAGGGCCAGAATGGCGCCGGAAGCACCGGCGGCGTCGGCGACTGGGGCTTGCTGCCGTGGGGAGGCCTGATTGAGGCCATTGCGCAGAGCTCGCATGGCATCGAGTCGGTCCACCAGTCGCCGCAGCCGCAGCCGCAGGGGCACGGGCAGGGGCAAGGGCAGGGGCATGGGCAGGGGCAAGGGCAGGGGCACGGGCAGGCGCAGGCGCAGGGCGAGAAGGGCAAGGCGGGCGGCAGTTCGAGCGCCGGCACCACGGCAGCAGCGGCGGCGAAGAAGTCGCCCTCGGCAGCAGCGGGGACGGGGCCAGGCAGCGGAACGGGTACGGCAACGGGGGCCAGCAAGAAAAAGGGCGGCGCTGCGTCGTCGGCGTCGTCGGGGGCGCCAGCTGGCGCGGCATCGGAAAAGAAGGGCCCCAAGAGCGAGGTTGGCCAAGACGACGCGGCGAGCCGGTGAGGGCGAGAGTGCGTTGTGAACAATCTGAATCAGTAGAAGTCCGAGGATGATGATAAGGCAAGAGGGATGGCAGCAATCGGCGGGCGGGCTAGAGCGAGACGCTACCGCCGTGATCCAGGATGCGGAAGGTCCTCTTGGCGCCCTCGTGGCGATGGCGGCGGGATCGATTCGGCGACGCCGGTCCGTCGCCCTTCTGCCCGTCGTCGTCGGTGTCGTCGTCGTTGGAGCGCGGTTCGTGGAGGAGTGCGTCGTCGCCAAGTCGGAGCCGGACGTGTTGGGCTTGGCAGGCCCAGAGGGTATTACCGACGGTCTTGACGACTTCGAGCGGTCCAGAGACAAAGGTACCCCAGTGAATCGCCACCGCCACGTACTCCTCTGCGTCCCCTTGGTCGTTGTGCTCTTGGTGGTGTTGCCGTTTCGGGGGGTTGGTGAGGATGTCAAAGATGCGCAGGGCGTCCCAGGGCGTAGCGTGGTTTCCGCCCGTCAAGCCGGGTTTGATGCGCGGCAGCGGGCTGAAGCGGTCAGAGAGGGGCACGTAGCTCCGCACAAACGACAGCGTCGCACCCACGCTGACGGGCAGCAGCGAGACGTGCGGCCGTCCCAGCCGCGTCCGGATCTCGTCAAACGCCGGACACGTCGCTGCCCCTCCCTCCCCCTCCCCCTCCCCCTCCCGCTCCTGCTCCCGTTCCGCCTCGTCAATGTCGATGTCGATGGTGTGCGCCGACGAGGGAGAGGGAGAGGGGCAAGGAGGGTAGTGGGGCGAAGTGTGCATCTGAAACCCGGTGTCGCCTGCGAAAAAGATGCGGTGCGATCCGATGGCCCCTTTGCCGTTCCCGTCCGGGCTTGACTGGTCGGCGATCAATGGTGGCGACGACGACGACGAGGAAATGTACCACGACGACCAGAGCGAGACGTTTGCGTCCAGGCCGACTCGACCCGATCCATGCTGGGCGGGCGTGCACGTAATCTCGACCTGGCCCTGGCCCTCTTCCTCTTCCTCGCCCTCGCCCTCCTCATCTGCCTCCCCCTCCCCGTCCTCCTCATCCCCGACCCCTTCCCCGCCGGCAAACCGCAAACAGATCGACTCCCACCAATCGAGCTCAACGACCCTATCCGGATCCACGCCGAACCCACCACTCTGGTCGGGGGCGAGGAACCACTGCCGATTGCCGAGGGGGACGACGAAGCGGAGCGAGGCGCGGTTGCGGCGCCAGAGCTCGGCGACGGTCGACAGGTCGAGGTGGTCGTAGTGGTTGTGCGAGATGAGGACGACGTCGATGGGCGGCAGGTCCTGCACCGCACACGGCGCCGCGTAGGAGCGGTAGGGCCCCGCGACCTGGGTCGGGGAGCAGCGCGTGGAAAAGATGGGATCAATCAGGATCCGGATCGGTCGCTGTCGTCGTCGTCGTCGTCGTCGTTGTTGTTGTTGCTGCGGGGCCGGATCGAGGGAGGCCGCGCCTTGATCGGCAGGTTTCGAGGCGGATGACGAGGTGGAGCGGCGAGGACGAGGTGGTGGTGGTGGCGTGAGTTGGACCAGGACGGAAGCGTGGCCGAGCCACGTCGTTTTGGACCTGACGCCGTCCGGAATGGTAAAGTCGGGCGCCACGCGGCGCAGCAATGTGTCGGCCGTCCGTCTTGCCGTTTGGTCGTCGATGCCCGCCGCGCCGAGGTGTTGTTGATTGAAAAGCGTATCTTCAATCTCTCCGTCCTCGTCCTCGTCGTTGCCCTCGTTGTCGTCACGGTACTTTGCATCGAGATCCGCTGAAGCGGGGGCGGGGGTACGATCGACGAGTGTGCGTGCAGCCTCGACGGCGAGGGGGATGCAGGGATCTCGATCCTCGCCCCACTCGAGGCCGGCCCAGACCTGTGCCAGGGTGGGCTTGACGGCGCTGGGCCACGGGTTGCGGAACCCCGTGCGTACCCAGGTCGAACTTGCACCCGTTTCCGCGCCCAGATCCGAGCCGCCGTCAGCGAGGGCCGGTGCACCTCTGACGACGTTGCCAAAGGGCCCGCAACCTATCCCCCCCATTCCTCCCACACCCGCCTCGTCGTCGTCAAAGTCGTAGTCGTTGTCGTAATTGTCGTCGTCGGCGTTGTAGCTCTGATCCGTTTCCGATTCGACACGACGAGATGGGAGCGGTACGGCATTCCAATGCGGTTGGAGGTAAGACGTCAGTCCACCCGCGGGGGCCCGCACGACGACATGGTGGGCCGGTAGCCGCTCCGTCGATGGACGGCGGTGTACCGTCATGTGCCGTGGGCCGTAGATGGGTATCGTAGCCATTTTTTGGCGGCGTCGTACAGAGACGGAGGCTAAGAGGCTAGGGTTGGCAGTGGTGGGCAAGGCAGGTGGCGATGGTGGTGGTGGTGGTTGAATGGGCGGGAAAGGGTATGTGCGTACGGAGCTTGGCCCGAGCGAGCTTGGCTTGGCTCGGCTCGGCTCGGCAGGCCAGGCCTGGCTGCATGGCCTGAGCTCGTTCCTGGCCGGGCAAGCCAAGCCAAGCCCGGCCGCACGCGCGCACCGACACCCCCGCGCCTCCACCAGCCCAGCCCAGCCCGCGCCGCCTCGCTCGACTGGCTCCCCTCCCATCCATCCTCTATCAACACTGACTTCCTTTTTCTCTTTTCAAGCCATATGTACAGACAAGGACCGTGACATGGCGGAGAAAGCGGCGGAGAGAGAACAAGTAGAAAAGAACAACAACGGCCGCGGAGAGCGAGGGCGACATTGACATGCTGTGCTGCGTGCGGTGACGCTGGTATGGTGCTGGTGTTGGCGGTCAAGGTCATAAACAGGAAAAGAAGAGTATCAATCGTAATGGAACCGCGGGCGGCTCCTTTTTCTTTGGGTTGGAACGTCATGAGCGAACCGGTCGATGAGTGGCCAATGGAAAAGCGTCGATGGTAGAGGCTAGGAAACATGGGTATGGTGGGTCGGTAGGTTGTTGGTTTGCTTAGCTGCTTGGATTGTTTGCTTGCTCGCTTGCTGGCTGGCTGGCTGGTTGAACAGGCGACGAGCAAAGGCCCCGAAACCCTGCGTTACGGCCCCGTACACGATGTCGCTGCCGGATCCACGACCTCGTAGACGGAGCGGTGGCTAGGCGGCCCGCCTCGAGGCCCGCGTACCCGTGCTGCCGCTCGTGCCCAGCACCGGTCCCGGCCCGCGCCGCACCGCCACCACGAAGGCGAACACAATGACCGTGGTAAACGTGATCCAGGTGCTGATCCAGAAGTAGGCCTCGTTGGACGCAATCTTGACGCGCTGCTTGACCATCTCGGGCTGGTACCGCGCCCGCAGCGAAATGGGAAAGTAGTCGGTCCCTTCGTCGCCCTGCCGCTTGACCCGCCGCGCGCCCCGCCGCCCCTCGACGGGCGCCTCGAGCAGCTCAAACTCCGACGACGTCGAAGACCCAGCCTCGTCGTCGTCGTCAGGACGCTGTCCGCGTCGCCTGCCCACGCCCTCGCCGGCGTCGTCGTCCGACCCGAGGGTACCGCGGCGAGACCTAGACCCGGCGGCCAACGACGTGGCGCGCACCCAGTCGCGCGTCGTCTCGTCGAGCCGTTCGACGCGGCCGTCTGTGCCGAGACCGCCGAGCTTCCGCATGCGGGCAACGGCAAGCCCGTCTTGTCGGTTGAAGTTGCCATCGTCGACGTCGTTGCCGTCGTCGTCGTCGAGGCCGGGGTCGATGAGCCGCGCCTTGCCCTTGCCCTTGCTCTTCGCCCTAGCCTTGCTCCTGCGCACGGCGGCCGTCCCTGCCCTGCTGTCGTCACCTTCGTCGAGCTGTCCAAAGTCGAGCTTGCGGCCAGTGCCCAGGTATGGAGCCCTCGACGCGCGCGCCTTTTCTGCCCGAAGGCGGTGACGCGCCGGCGAGATGGCCAGCACGCGTGCATTGACCTCGGCCTCGAGCGCACGGCCGTCCGAGTCATTGCCGTCGTCGGCGTCGTAGCCGCGGCTGCGCAGCACCTCGATGCGACGCCGGCGCAGCAGCTCCTCGAGCTTGCGGCGTTCCAGCACCTGCTCCTCGGACTCGAGCTGGCGCGCCGTGCCCAGCTTCGAAGTGCGCTGCACCTGCGGCCCCTTGCCGTCCCGACTGGTCCCTCCGGCGCCCGCCGTCAGCTTGCGTCCGGCGGCCCAGGCGTACCCGAGCAGCACGCTACTCCTCGACTTCCTCGGCAGCGTCTTTTGCCCGCGGCCGCCGACGCCAGCCGAGGGCAGCTGCAGCAGGCCGATCCTCCGGGCCTCGGTCTCGGTGATCGGCCGGCCGTAGTCATCGTCGTCGGCCCACTGGACCGGCTGGTCTCCGACGGCGGCGCAGATGAGGTCGTACTGGTCACCGCGCGGCTGCTCGAGATCCTTAAGACCCGCCCTCTCGACGATGTCGTCGCCGGCGCGCCACTCGCCATCGTTGGACTCGGCGAATACGGCAATGAGCGACGAGTCGCGCTCGTCTTGCGGCGACGGCGGCTCGACGCGCAGCACCGCGTCCATGTGCTGCAGCACGCACTCGATGTCCTCCTGGTCCTCGTCGGCGTCGTCCTCGGGCACCAGCCGGCCAAAGCTCGCCGTTGGCCGGTCGCTCCTCTTGTACCGGATCAGCTGGGCGGGCGAGACCGCCTGCATGAGCGTCTGGCCGCTGCCGCCGTCGTCGAGGTCCGACAGCCTCAGAGGACCTTCGACGGCGTCTATTTCACCGCCCGCCCGCATCGTCGGCGCCGAGTCGTCGCCTTCGCCGTTGAAGTCGTTCTTGCGATCGTCGCCGCCAAAGATGCTGCCGAGCTCGCTGCCGAGCGTGCGCCGTTGCGCCCAGTCGAGGTCGTTGACGTTGTTGATGCTCGAGGAACGGCTCATCGACGCAAGCGACGAGAAGCTGTAGCTGCTGTGCGTCAGCCGAGCCGGTCGCTCCGGCGTCACCGGCAGTTCGTCGCTGTGGCCTGCGCCGGTGCGCAGAACCCGGTCGGCCGGGCTCGGACTGGCGGCGCGGCTGTCGCAGGAGTCGGAGATGTCCCTGGCCGACTGCGAAGGCCGACCGGAGCGACTGCGGTTGTCTGCGCCGCTTGGCCGCGGCATCCACTGCTCAGTCAGCAGGCGATCCGAGGGCGGCGCGCAGTGGAGCGCATCGGATGGCTTGAGACAGCCGTCGTGGCCACCAAGGCCCGGTCGCTCCTGTGTGGGCGATGGCAGATCCTCCCAGTCCTTGCTGCTCGCCTGCCGACCTTTGTCGTCCCCGCCGTCGCCGGCAATGGTGACCTCGATCGGCTTCCTCCGGGCGCCAAGGTCCTCGATCGACGGCGTGATGCGGATGCGGGGCCGTGCGGCGGCGCCAACGCCGATCGACGTGCCGGACACCTTTTTGATGATCCTACGAGAGTTCGGCGACGATGCCGCGCTGCTGCTCTGGCTGAGATCGAGCGAGTAGCTTGCCAGCGAGTCGGCCGTCGTCGACCGCGATAGACCGCCCGCCGCAGGGTCAAAGGCAGCGACCCGCCCGCCTTCGGACAGCTTGGCCTGCTGCCGCTCCCGGCGCAGTGCGGCCCGGATCGTCTTGCGCGTCTCGATGGCGTATCGATTGCCCGGGGCCCTGCGACGACGGCTGGGCGACGAGTTCAGGTCCGTGGCCGAGCCGGGGGAGAGCGCGAGCAGGTCGAGGTCGCCACGAGAGCCCGACGGCGTCATGAGGCCCTGCGTACCGACTGCGTTGCTTGGGGCCTCGCCGGGCGTCTTGGATGCCTCGTCGGCCTCGGCGTCGTCCGCGCCACCGGGCCACAGATCCGCGGCGACGCTCGAGATCTCGACCGCCTCGTAGGCATCCTTGAGCCTCTCGCCTTCCTCCATGGCGCGTCCCAGCCGGCCGTCCATCTCGGATCCGGCCTGGGCCATGGCGCGGTTCGTCTCGCGCAGCTCCTGGATCTTGGCCAGCAGCCGCGCCACCAGCGCCTGCTCGCCCTCGGAGTTGCCTGGCCGGTAGCCGAGCATCTCCTCGAGGTCCGACGCCGAGATCGGGATGCCGCCGGCCGCGTCGTCGCTAAACGCGCTGGTGCCGTCGACGCTGGACTCGGATGCAGAGTAGCGCCGCCTCGACGCCGCAGCAGCGGCGCCCGCCGGCTTAGCGAGGCCCATCTCTTCGGGAGTGAGCAGGTTACTGCGGACGGGCGTTAGCGACGCCTGCAGCCCGATGTTGAGCGTGCCCTGAAGCAGCGGCGAAATGGGGCCGACGCCCTTGCCCCTCGTCCAGCCCCTCCTGTGCGTCACCTTGACATCGTCGGCGCCGTCGTCGTCGCCCGAGTTGGTCGCCCGCCGGCCCTGCTCGAGCTCGACGTTGCGGCGGGTGGCGGCCTCGAGTTCGGCCTTGAGGCCGCCGATCTCCTTGTCGAGCCGGCTCAGCTTCTTGCTGCCGTCGCGCTTGGCCCGCTCGGCCTCCTCCTGGAGCTCCGAGAGCTGCTGCAGCAGCGCCTCGTTCTGCTCGCTCAGCCGCGCAAGCTGGCGCTGCGCCTCGGCGGCCTGGACCTGGCTCAGTGCGGGCCGGCGACGTCCGCGGTCGTCGAACGCGTCGTTGGCGCGGAACGACAGCGATGCGCTGACCGATCCGGTCGGCGAAGCGGGCCTCGAGACGATGAGGCCGGCCTGGCTCGGGACCCATGGATCGTCGTCGCGCGACACTCGGGGCTTGAGATTCTCGTCGTCGCCTCCGAGTCCGAGCCGGGTCGAGCGCGGTTCAGTCGGGCCGGCCCCGGCCGTCCTCTGAGGCGCCGCCGTCATCGCACCGAGCGGCTGCCTGTGACCGCTGGCCACGGTCCGGTACGGCGTCGAGAGCGTGGCGTGGCCGAAGTAGTCGGCGGTGCCGTTCCTGCCGAGCGTTGGATTACCCGAGGCCACCGGGGTCCTCTCGTCGTCATCGCCGTCGGCGGCACTGTCGCCCTTGTGGTCGCTTGTCATGACTGGCGTCGAGGGCGCGGTCTCGCCCTCGCTGGCTGCCGTAGCTGGCATCGCGGTGAGGTCGACGTCGGTCGTCGGAGGCGAGCACGGTAGCCTTGCGTCGTTTGTGACGCCGTCGCCGATACTGCCGCCGTTTGCTCCTTGCGCCTGCGTCTGCCCCTGCCCATGCCCCTGGGCCATGTCAAAGATGCTGGTGCTCGAGGCGAGGCGGGACGCGATGCCCGTGTGCTTCTGGCGCAGGCTGATATTCTTCTCCAGCAACGCCTTTCCGATGGCGGCGGCCATGACGAGGTCCTTTTCGCGCGCCTTGATGATGCGGTTGGCCTGCATCAGCATGGCCTCGAGCTCGTCGCGTCCGAGGTTGCCCACCCACTCGCGGTCAAACGACGACGCCTCCGAGGCAAGGCTCTTGGCGTCGCTGTCGTCATCGTCGTCTGCATCTTCGTCGTCCTCAGCCCCGGCCTCGTCGTCCTCGGCAAAGACGTCCTCTACTGCTCCTCTCGCATCGGCTATTGTCAGGCCGTCACGGTGTTCGGCGGTACGAGGACCGCGCATTGTTGTCGGTTGGCCGTCTTCGCCTGGCTGCGAGGCCGGGTCCGGCGTGTTTTGGGTGGCGCATTCGTTGCGAGCCGCACGCCTCTGGCGCTCGGGCGTCGAAAAGATGTACTGCAGGCTGGGCCTCCGCTTGCCGCCGATGCCGGGTCGCACCGGCCCCGCTGCCGCCCCTTCCGACGCCTCGCCGCCCTGGAGCATCGTGTGTCTGGCTGTGGTGTTGCGGCCGAGGCTGCCGTAGGACGCGATGCGGCCCTGCTTCTGCGCCTCTTCCCCGTCGACGTACGAGGCGTCGGCCGATGGGTGACAGGCCGAGGCCACTCTGACGCGACCCTTTGGCCAGCGATGGACGTTGCGTTCCAAGGCAGCGGTCAGATCATCGGGCAGGTCGAGGTCGAGGTCGCGATCGAGGACCACAACGTGGCCATGGCCGCGGTCGGGGCGCTGGGGCGCCGCTCTGCCCTGCCTCGGATCGAGGGCGGCAGATGGGTCGAGATAGGTCGACGAGGTCGGTCTGCTGCCGGAACCTCCATCGCCGTCCGTGCCGTCCTTTCCGCTCTGGTTTGACGTGGACGAGATGCGACGCAGCTGCGAGCTCGGTCTCCGGTTGGCTGGCGGCTTCGGCCTGGAGGCCAGGTCGGGGGCGCCAGAGAACATGGCAGGAGCGCGCTGTGGATCTGCGACGTAGAAAGCGCGCCGCGACGACAAGGGGTCTTCGATCCGTCTTCTACGCAAGCATCAAGTGCGGGTTTGTTTCCAGGGCTCCGTTTGTGATGTTGCGCGCGGGTCGCTGGGGAAGGTGGTGGTGGGGGGCGCCGCAGCGGTGCGAGCGCGAAGACCCAACGTGCTGGAGGACCGATGGAAGCCAGGGACGGGTCAGTGTCGATGGGGACTGATTGTGGGGACGACGGCGGGGCTGGTTGGTTCCGGCCACTGCAGTAGGGCTCGTCGACTTGGGGCGTCAACGATTGTGATCGATCAAGGGCGGGTGACGAAGCTCTCGACGCTAGACGAGGGGTCCGAGCGACAGTCTTCTAAGGGAGGGTCAATGAAAGGATCGAGATCCGGAAGGTGGGGCTCCTCAAGGCTGAGTCCGCTGACGAGGCAAGCAAATAGGGATGGGACGGTGCCGGTCCGAGGATGAGGGGTAGGGTAGTGGCAGAGGGGTAGGCGAAGCGGACAGGGCGTGGTGCGTCAGGCCAGGGTGTGCTGCGCTGCCCACTCTGCTTTGAGCGGGATCGATGCTGGGGCTGAGGTGGTCCGAGGCGAGGCGAACACGGCGATGAGGATGATGCGGTTGACGGCGACGACGGTGACCAAGGCGATGGCCGTGATGACGGTGGTGGTGGTGGTGGTGGCGATGGCGGCGACGTGGCAGGTGCTCGATGAGTCGTGATGGTGCCGGCAGATGCGAGAAGCGGGGTAAGGTAGGCAAGCGGGCCGTCTGGTCAGATGCTCGGGAGCGGTGCAGAGGCAAGGCGGGATGAGCCAGGCAAGCAAACAAGGCGATGCGGTGTGGTGCGATGCAGTGCGATGCGATGCGATGCGATGCGATGGCAAGGCCCTGACAACCCACGCAGTCAGGCAGGCAAGCCGAGGGCGAGGCCAGAGGGTGCGGTCGAGGGGATCCGATCCAGGATGGCGAGGCCGGTCTGAAAGCGGGGGACTGTGCGACCTGGTGGCTATTGTCGTAGTCGAGCAGAGGGGGGGCAGAGCCGGGCCGGACGAGGGACGCTCGGCGCTGGGGAGAAGGGTGGCAGTGGCGGCGGCGGTGGTGATGGTGGTGGTGATGACGGCCCAGCTCCGCCTTCGCCATGGTTGCCCCCCTCTACAGCTTCCCATGCCTGCAGAGAAGCAAGCAAGCAAGCCATAAAGCAGCACAGCGACAGAGAGAAGAGGGGCACGCACGCATACGCACGCACGTACAGCTAGGAGGCCAGGCAGGCAGGCAGGCAGGCAGGCAGACGGGCAGGCGGGCAGGCAGAGAAGGACCAACACCCGGCCCCACCTTCGAGACCAACACCCGCCCGACCGCCCGCGCCAGAGCCGAAACACACGCGCACGCAGAGGGGCCAGGTGCCAGGGCAGAGGCTGGGCTGGATCGCTTGCACGCGCAACGAGGAGGGGGAAAGTGAGCAGCTGGCCGGCTAGGCTGGGCAGCTGGCCAGGCCAGGCAACCCAGAGGCAGGCAGGCGAGCGAGGTCAAGCAGGCAGCAGCACGCGTCAGGCAGCGAGGCTCGCTTGGCCTGCCAGGCCAGGCTAGGCTAGGCACGCACCCACGCCGAGCGCTTCCATGGCAGGCGAGGCGAGCAAAAGCAGGCGGGGCAGCTGGCCACACTACTCCGCCCGCCCTTTGTCCTCGTCGGGCCCCCCTCCTGCCTGCCTGCCTCTCCTCGTGAAAGACGGCCGCCCTCGTCGACGGCGGCGAGACCGGCCTCTGTCCTCCTCCTCCTCGTCCTCGACGACGTCGACGACGACAGCGACGACAGCGGCGACGACATGCTGTCCCCTCTCCTGGCGGACAGACAGGTGACGCCGTCTCCGGGACCGAGCTGCCAGAGCCCCCGGTTGTCCTGCGATGCTTGCTTGCTTGCTGCTGCTGGCATCCACCGGAGCGGCCACCAGGCAGGCCTGCTCTTCATGGCCCGCCTGACAACCGATGGGCAGCCAGCCCGGCGAGCGCAGAGTCAGCCGTCGACCCCGCGACCGATGCTGGCAGTACGTTTGCAGCAGCGCATCAGGCGTCTCTCTCCCTGCCTGTCATCGGCCCCTAGCCTAGCCATCCCGCCGCCGCCGCAGCCGCCGCCGCCGCCGCCGTCGCTGCTGACATCGTCGCGATCGGCTTCCATGAAAGTGCAGCTGCTGCTTTGCTTTGCTTTGCTAGCTTGCTTGCTTGCTTCTTCGGGACGACGTCCGAGGCCTCTTCCGACCACGGGCAAGCCACAGAACCCTACCTGGCCTGCCCTGCTTCCTTCGGGAACGTCGACGACGGCGGCGGCGACATGTCGCGCACACCCAGCCACGCGGGCGCCATTGTTACACCCGTCGCTCGCAGCCACGCCATCCACCGTGCCTGCTGCTTAGCTTGCTTGTCTTCCGTCGGCGGCGCTGCGACAAGCAAGCACAGGCAGAGATAGGGCTGGCATGACGATGGCGTCGGGCTGTTTGATCTGTGCCATCGAGGCCTGGCCAGCTGAAGAGAGCCAAGGGCAGCGACGATAGTACTCGTCGACTGGCGACCGCTTTCATGCCGCAGGCCGAACCTTGCCTGCTGATGGCGGTCTCCTCAGCGGGCTTGCTTCCGTTCGGAACGTTGACGGCGGTCCAGAGCCCTCGGTGCCCAGCGGATTCGGTCCGACTCCGACAGAAACAGAAGACACACAGCAAGCAAGCCACCCGCGCCGTACATGCGTGGCATGCCACACACGTCGACTCTCTAGCTGCCCTTTTTGCTCAGATAGCAACGGGCGACGGCGACATGTCTCAAAGGTGGACCCAGCAGGAGCAGCCAGACCGGGGCCGGGCCAAGCCGTGGTCGACCCAGCGCCAAGCCAAGCTAGGCCATTCGGGGATGGCGCTGCCTTCCGGTCCACGTTGACGTTCGCTGGGGTGTTACGTTGTTGGTATGGCCGGCCGGTGTTGATGATGGCGATCGATTGCATTTGCTTCCAGCCCTCGGGAAAGGTAGCGGGTTGGTAGCGCGGCCCTCCTTCCCCTTTCGGCCCAGGCCGATCCATCCCGAAGCCACCGAGTCGCGGTGCAGGGGCAGCGTCGGGTACGTGGTTGTTTTGGGCCAGCCAGCCAGCAGGCCGGCGACGCTCAGCAGGGATAGAGGCAGGCACAGCACAGCACGCCTCGCTGCACCTCCTCTTCGCTCGCCTTCGTCACCCTCTGAGCATACCCCTGTGTGGCGGCGCTCCAACGGTACCGCCGCAGACAGGAACGGAAGGTAGGGCGGAGCGCCAAACCCACCGAGGGCCCCGGAGCTTTTCCTCGCAGCAGGCTCCACGGCGGGTGCCTCGCCGGACCGGGCCTGACAGGCCGTCGAGAGCGACGACGCCCGACGCGACGCCTCATAGGGCGAGCGTGAGCCTTTGCATCTGCCAACGAGCGGCCACGGCCACGGCGACGACGGTTCTGTGAACGGCGAACCAAACAGGCCTGGGGTTCCGCTCTCGGCGAGGCACGCGATGCCAGGCCCGGCGGTGGGTGGCCTCGGACGTCGGACGCGACGTCGATCTTTATCGATCGGCTGCGGTCAAGTCGGGGTGCATGTGCTCGACGGGCACCAGCAGGCCAGGCACGCCAGGCCAGGCACGGACTCGGCGCGAGAAGCGTCCATCGCCGATTTCTGATTTCCTTTCGCTAGCTCCCGATCAGTGAATTATCCCGATCAGCCTGCCCCCCCTGCCCATCGCCTGACCGCGCCGAGGGGTCAAAAGTGCGGGGAAAAGGGGCCCGAGCGAGGCGAGGCAGGCGCGGCCGGCGTGAGGTGCTTGGCCGGTGGGCCGAGGGCGGGCGAGTGCGGGGCAAGCCTTCGCGTTTAACGGCTCGAGGCGTAGCCGAATGAAGCCGGCCCGCCGTCGCTCCCAGTCCAGGCCTGGCCTGGCCTTGCCTCCTCTCCCCCATCTCCCCCATCCCCCCGCACACCCCCCGCTTTCTTCTTCCTCTGCAAGGCCATCCCCGCTCCTTTTCGCTCGTCGACACAGGCAGCGCAGCCCTGCTCAAAAACCTGGCTTGGCCTGCTTGACCCCCCTCGTTCCTCTTCCCACCTCGTCCCTCTCCTCTCTTCTCTCCCTCCACGACCCCCCTCCTGCGGCCCTCGCTCCTCGTTTCTCCCCATCCTCCGTCGAGCGCATCTCTCGCCATGATCGCCCGCACTGCCTCTTCTTCCCTGGGCCGCCTCGCGCTGGCCTCGACGTCGTCAACGGCGGCGTCGTCTGGCGCCGCCTCTTCCTCCTCGTCGGCCTCGAGGCTGGCGGCGGCGGCGGCCGGCGTGCGCGCCTTTACCGCCCGCTCCCACTCGGTGCCGCAGCACCTCTCGTCGATCCTGCCCAACAACGTCGACACGTCGTCCGAAGACTTCGCCTCCAACAAGGCCAGCATGGACTCGCTCGTCGAGCAGCTCGACGCCAAGCACGCAAAGATCTCGCTCGGCGGCTCGGAAAAGGCGCGCGCCCGCCATCTCTCGCGAGGAAAGATGCTGCCCCGCGATCGCGTTGCCGCCCTCCTCGACCACGGCTCGCCCTTCCTCGAGATCTCGCCCCTGGCCGCCTACGAAATGTACGGCAGCGACGAGGTGCCCGCCGCCGGCGTCATTGCCGGCATCGGCAACGTCTCGGGCACCCAGTGCATGGTGGTGGCCAACGATCCCACCGTAAAGGGCGGCAGCTACTACCCCATCAGCGTCAAGAAGCACCTGCGCGCCCAGGCCATTGCCAAGGAGAACCGCCTGCCCTGCGTCTACCTCAACGAGAGCGGCGGCGCCGCGCTGCCCCACCAGGCCGACGTCTTCCCCGACGAGAACCACTTTGGCCGCATCTTTTACAACATGGCCCAGATGTCGGCGCTCGGCATCCCGCAGATCTCGGTCGTGCACGGCATCAGCGTCGCCGGCGGCGCCTACGTGCCCGCCATGGCCGACGAGACCATCATCGTGCGCAACCAGGGCACCATCTTCCTCGCCGGCCCGCCGCTCGTCAAGGCGGCGCTGGGCGAGGTCGTCGACGACGAGACGCTCGGCGGCGGAGAGATGCACTCGACCGAGTCCGGCGTCACCGACCACCTGGCCGTCGACGACGCCCACGCCATTGTGCTGGCGCGCGAGGCGGTGGCCAACCTGGGCCTGTGCGGCCGCAGCCCGGCCTCGGTCGAGCACCCGGTCGAGGCGCCCCTCTACGACGCCGCCGAGCTGCACGGCATCGTTCCCTCGAACCTGCGCAAGCCGTTCGACATGCGCGACGTCATCTCGCGCATCGTCGACGGCTCGCGCTTCCACGAGTTCAAGAAGCTCTACGGCAAGACGATTGTGACGGGCTTTGCGCGCATCGCCGGCCAGGACGTCGGCATCATTGGCAACAACGGCATCCTGTTTGGCGAGAGCGCCAAGAAGGCGACGTCGTTTATCCAGCTGTGCAACCAGCGCCAGATCCCGCTCGTGTTCCTGGTCAACGTGACGGGCTACATGGTGGGCACCAAGGCCGAGCGGAGCGGCATCGCCAAGGACGGCGCCAAGATGGTGCGGGCGGTGGCGTGCGCCGACGTGCCCAAGCTGACGGTCATCGTCGGCGGCTCGTTTGGGGCGGGCAACTACGGCATGTGCGGGCGGGCCTACAGCCCTCGGTTCCTGTGGATGTGGCCCAACGCGCGCGTGGGCGTCATGGGGGGCGAGCAGCTGAGCCAGGTCATGACGACGGTGAGCAGCGACAAGAGCAAGCAGGAGGGGCTGCGCGACAAAATTGAGCACCAGAGCCTGCCCGAGTACGCCAGCGCGCGGCTGTGGGACGACGGCGTGATCCGCCCACAGGACACGCGCAACGTCCTCGCCCTCGGCCTGGGCGTGGCCAACGCCGGGCGGTGGAGGAGCAAGCAGCGCGGCGAGGACCACCCGGCCTGGGACGGCAACCACCGCGGCGACGGCGTGTACCGCATGTGAGGGGCAGGGGCAGGGGCAGGGGCAGGGGGAGGCCAGAGGAGGGCCGTCGGACGCCGCAGCGAGAGGGATGGCCCCCCCTCGGATGTACAAAGTCGAAGCAGCGACAAGACGAAATGGCAAACGACGGCATCGATATCACACCTGGAGCGTCGTTGTCGTAGTCGGACCGGGGGGGGGGGCGAGGTCGAGCAAAGCGCCCTGCGATGACATTGCACGGTCGCGAGCATCGCATGGGGATCGGGGAGGCTGAGGGCTCAAACTCAATGACAAGCACGACCGTAGATCTTGATGCGCCAGTAGTTATAGGGCAGGGGGGCGAGGAAGCCCGCCGAGGCCGACAAGAGGGCGGCGAGCCAGAAGGCGGGACTGGCGAGGTCGATGCCCGACGAAGACGAGGACAAGGACGAGGACAAGGACGAGGTGAGGTGTAGGTTGACGGCCGTCTCTACCGACTCCATGGCGAGCATCGAGATGAGGCTCATGCCCATTGCCGTGCTGGCCGCTTGGCCGAGGGGCATGCGGGTAGGCCCGTATCGGAGGAGCAGGGTTTCGACGAGGAGCGAAGTGGCGATCCCGGACGTCACTGTCCGGCGCCCGCACGGCATGGCGTCGCTTGTGGGGTGTCAGTTGAGTCAGGTTGGTGTCGGCGGCAGGGAGAGGGGACAGGGGGAGGGGGCCAAAGACGTACTGGACAGACCCATGGAGACATGCATACCCCACGTGTCGACGAGTCCACGGTGCTGGAGGTACCAGAGCATGCCGAGATCGCCCAGCGTGCAGCCTACGAGGCAGCGGAACGTATTCGTACCCGCCCGGAGCCACGTTGTGCGGCACCTCCAGAACCGCCACGTCGTCGTGGCTCCCCACCGTGACGTCGTCGTTGCTGCCGCCGGCGGTGGTGTCGGTGTCGGTGTGCGTGTGCGCGTGCGTGTCGTCGTAGGTGTGGGTGTGCATGTCGGTGTCGGGGAGGGAGGGACCGAAGACGCTCGACGGATACCGTGTTGCGCACCGAAGGAGAGCAGATGGACGGGCAGAGGGGAAAGCGCGCCGACGCCAAGACGCCGCAGCGTCGCTGGATGGGCCGTCGACCTGAGCATGGTGGGCGGTGGGTCGTCGTCGAGTCGCAGTGGCAGTCGCAGTCGCTGTTGATGGAAATCATACCCTCTCGCTGTCGTCTCCTCCTCCCTCTTGCCCTGCCCATCCGATCCAACAACCTTTTATAGCCTCTCTCTGGATCGACATGGTTGGCAAAGCCTCTCAGACTAGTGCCGGGTCGGAAGAAGACGCACCCCGTGTCGGGACGGGAGCCTGTGGGGCTGCGTCAATTTCGCCGTGCCTCTATCCGTTGCTTGGGTTGCGCGAATTTGGCCCCAGCCCGGTGCGGCCGGTGGTCGTCGAGCGGCGAAATTGCCTCACCTCAATCTCTCATCTGGCCTGCCCCCGAAACTCTGGGGACGGCGCGCAGCGGCCTGGCCTGGCCTGGTACGTGGGCCCAACTGGACAGCCCTTGGTCCGATTCGAGATTCCGATCCAGTTCGTCTCGGCGCTGGCCGCTTCACGCCCGCAAGGATGCCGGTCCCTGCCGCCAGCTGGACTCGTCCGACCTCCGAGGCAGAGGCAGAGGAAGAGGCCATTTGCGCTCTCCATAGGCTACGCTACAGTACTACTTCTAGCTCGACTTCGCCGCCGCCGCCGCCGCCGTCGTCGTCGATCTCCGCCGGGTATGTAGGCGTCCGCACATGCACAGATGCACAGACGCACGCCCATGCTCCCTCGACGCAGCTCCTCCACGTTGGTTCGGCATGCCCTCGTCCGTCTGGTCTGGCATAGCCTGGCATCGCATCGCATCGCATCGCGGAGTTTAGGCACAGAGCGCGGGCACCGGCACCAGTCGGTCGTAGCGAGATCAGCGCTGGCCTGCTTTGCCCTGCGCTGGCCTCACCTGACGGTCCATCCTGATCGCATGCTGCTGAGTGCCCACCCGCTGCCCTCGGCCTCGCCAACGCTTGCGCGGCCTTTTTGGCCCGCCTCGGCCTCGACGCGAGGCCTTTGCACTGGTCAAGCCGGGACCCAACAGCGCGGTGCAACGTTCCTTTCCGTCCACCATCAACACCACCGCATCGCCCCCCTCTGGACCCCCTCGCCGTCGCCCCTCCACTATCCTCACCATGACCACCGACGTCTTCACCTTCTACGACATTGACAGCGCCGACCACACGAGCTGGTCGCCCGCCACGCTGCGCACCTACTATACCCTGGTCCACCTCTCGCTGCCCTACGTCCGCAGGCCCGTCTGCATGGCCGACGTCGCCAGCGTCTCGGCCTCGCTCGGCGCCCCGCAGCGGCCCGAGGGCGCGCGGCTGCGCTACACGCTCCCCACCCTCGTCCTGCCCAAGTCGGGCGAGGTGGTCAACGACTCGGTCGACATCGCAAAGAGGCTCCAGGCCCTCGGACACGGCGACGACGCATTCTGGGACTGGAAGCGCCACGACGACGCCTTCGTGCCCGCCCTCTCCAGCCTCACGTTTGACGACCACTACGTCAACATCCTCCCCTACGTCCCCGAGCTCCTCGACGACCGCGGCAGGCAGTACTTTTACGACACCCGCAACGCCTGGTTCCCCAAGACGCTCCAGGCCTACCGCGACGACCAGTCCGCAAACGACCCCGTCGCCGACGTCGTCCGCGTCGTCGAACCCTTCGCCAGCCTCTACGACGGCTCCGCCCCCTTCCTCAACGGAACCTCGCTCAGCTACACCGACATCTGCGTCGCCGCCTTCCTCGGATGGGTCGCCTTTGCCCGCGGCAGGCAGACCATGGACGCCGCCCTCAAGGCCGCACACGGCGGATCGCTCGAGCCGCTGTGGAAGTGGGTCGGCGACAACCTCGCGCTGCCCCACGCCGCCGACAAGTAGCCCCCGCAGAGGCGCGCATGTCTCGTCGTCGCTGCCGCAGTAGCCCCCTTTCCCTCCGCCACGCGCAGAGAGATGGAAAGAAGAAAAAGGCTGAGATGGAGAGCGACTGAGACGACCAGAAAGGAGCAGGAATGCGATTGCCTTTGTGCCAGCCAAGCCCACTGTCGCCGCCGCCGCCGACGCCGCCGCCCGCAGCCCGCAACCCGCCGCCTGCTCAGGGATGGAGGATGACCTTGGAATACCCGTCGATGCGCTTCTGGAACTTGTCGTAGGCGTCGGGGGCCTCGCTCAGGCTGACCTCGTTGCTGATGATAAACGAGGGCCTGGCGACGCCGGCGACGATGAGGTCGCGCAGCTGGCGGTTGTAGCTCTTGACGTTTGCCTGACCGCAGCCGAGGCTGAGTCCCTTTTCAAAGAAGCGGCCAAAGGGGAACTTGATGACGCCGAGGCGGGCGTCGTCGTCGGGAGCGCCCGGGTCGCTGGGGACGTAGAGGCCCGGGATGCCGAGGCCGCCGCAGGGGCGTACGAGGTCGACGAGGGCGTTGAGGACGACGTTTGGCTGTTCCGTCTTTCCGTCGTGCGTCACGGCCTGGTATCCGACGGCATCGACGCCGCGGTCCACCTCGCGCCCACGGCGCAGGTCGAGGATCTGGCGCACGGCATCGCCCTTTGAAAAGTCGATGGCGACGGCGCCAAAGTTGCGCGCGAGGGCGAGGCGTTCGGGGACGCGGTCGACCATGTAGATTTCGGCGGCGCCGAGGAGGCGGGCCGAGTAGCCCGCCATGATGCCGACGGGCCCGCAGCCGAAGACGACGATGCTCTCGCCCGGCTGCAGGCCGCTTAGCTTGCAGCCGTGGTAGCCCGTGGGGAATACGTCGGCGAGGAGGATAAAGTCGGCCTCGTTGTCGGTGCCCGGCGGGAGGACGAGGCAGTTGAAATCGGCAAACGGCACGCGGATCCGCTCGGCCTGTCCGCCCGGGTAGGGTCCCATGGCGACGTAGCCGTAGGCGCCGCCGGCGAAGCCATGGTTGACCTGGGTGCAGAAGGCCGTCTTGGCCGACTGGCAGTTGGCGCAGGAGCCGCAGGCGACGTTGAAGGGCATCACGACGCGGTCGCCCACCTTGACCACGCTCACGGCGTCGCCGACCGACTCGACGATGCCCATGTTCTCGTGGCCGAATCGCAGGCCCGGCTCGGCGGCAGTGCGTCCCTCGTACATGTGCAGGTCCGAGCCGCAGATGGCGCTGCTCGTGATGCGCACCACGGCGTCGGAGGGGTGCTCGATCCGCGGCGCGGGGACCGACTCGATCGAGACGCTAAACGGGCCCTTGTACACGAGCGCCTGCATCGTCGTCGAGGCAGGCGTGGTGGTCGCCGTCGCGTTGGAGGACATGGCGCTGGCACAGAGGGATGGAAGAAAGCCAAGGTTATGGGGGGAAAGAGGGCTCGAAGGGATGATGCGGGTGCGGGTGCCGGTGCGGAAGAGGGTGCGATGGGGTCTGGGAGGTGGATGAGGGCAGCGCAATCCACCTTCTTTATACCCCCTCGATGCCTTGTCCAGAGCGGGCACAGACCACGGCCAGGCCAAGCCGTCCTGAAACGAAGAACAGGCCAGACGGTCATGGGATTGCACAAGAGGGCAGCAGCAGCAGCAGCGGCAGCAGCGTCAGATGCCAAGCGAAATGAGGATCGCAACCTCGTCGTAGCAAGCAAGCTAAGGCGGCAACCGGCCGGCCCGTGACCTGGTCGAGGTGCACCAAACTCCCAGAGTAGTTGCCTAGCTAGTGTCCCAGGCTGGTAGGCTAAGAGAGCAACGACAGGCCAAGGCCGCCATGGATCAGATGCAATGGGCGAGAGGTACGGTACGGTACGGTACGGCGGGAGAGCCACCGACGCGGCCGAGGGCGGGCAGGCGAGCGAGGTGTCTACTAACGCCGCACCATGGCCCGTGCCCCTGCCCCCGCCCGTGCCCCTGCCCCTCCACACGTCGGTCGGTCGCGGTCGCGGTGTCGTGTGACGCAAAGAGCAGAGGAGCGCAGCCTGAGTCCGCCCGCGACCCCGCGAGCTTCAATCGTACGTACCGCTTCGCATACAAAACCTACACCATCCACCTCGACGAGCGAGCGAGCGAGCAGGCGAGCAGGCATGCCACCCCTCTCGCCTCTGCCTCGCTCGACAAACAGCGCCAGTCGAGGCTACCTGCGCTCCCCCTCGCCGTCCTCGCCGGGCCTCTGCACCGCTCCGCCCGCCTCGCACTCGTAGCCACGTGCCAAACCAACCAACCGAGCCAAGCGCCCAAGGTAGGGCAAGTGTTGAGCTGCATATCTCTTCAAAGTCTCGCTCGAGATCGACTCCAACCAACGTCCTCGGGGCACCGCGACCTGGCAGCGACACACCCTCTCTTCTCTTCCGACCCACTGCTGCGGCTACTGCCCCGTCGGGCCCTGGATGTCGTACCGCTTGCCCCTCACCGCCCACAGGCCCCAGTTGGCCTTGACCGCCACGCGCGGGTCGAAATCGGCTGCAGAGCGGGGCACGGGCGCGGGGACCGGGGGCCGGAGGGGGAACAACGAAGGGGAAGAAAGGGATCGAGACGTCAGCCCAGCTGTCCATCGCCTGGGGCAGGGCAGCACGGACCGCAGCGCAGCCACACTCACCGACGGCCCACTGCTGGCTGGCAAACACATTCTCGCCGGGCGTAATAAGCCAGTCAAACTCGCCCCGCACCCCCTCGACGCTCTCAAACGCCAGCACGTCGCGCTCCACGTCGGCCGGCGAAAAGCCCGTCGCCACCAGCGCGCACCGCGTAGACAGAATCTGGCCCAGCGCCTTGGCCCACTCGCGCTGCGCCTGCACCACCGGTGCCGCCGTCAGCGCCGTAAACGAGTCGCCCCGCGGCGAGGAAAAGATGGGCGCCGGCTCCTGCGCCGGCACGTCGCCGCCCGCCGGCTGCGCAGAGGCGTCGAC